CAGGCAAATCAATCAATGATACGAGTACGGATAGAACAAATCCTGCCGCTGCCGCTATAGAGTATATGTTTTCTCTCCGTAAAATCCACAGTTTGGGAAGTCGACCCTTCAAAATCCCGTTAAATATTGACTCGGTAGAAACTGATGGACTAGGGGCGCGCGTACAGGCGTATGGCAGAGACGGGAATCCGACCTCGTCAATTTAGGCAAAAAATATTTGGGGGAAGTTATTCTCACGCTGTTTGCTCTGGGTAGAAGCGTGTGCGTGAACCGTCTATATGCCGAAGTCTCTCGCCGGGGCCGGGGATTGCTTTGTTTGAACTAATACTACTGTTTTCCGTTTTACCTATTGGGGTGGGATGGTGGAGATGTGTCTACAAATCATAAAGCTATCCAATTTATTTCAAATTAAATGTAAATTGTGAGGGAAATCTAGTGAGTATACGTGATAAAAGAGAAAAGTTATCGGCCAGCGCAGTACTTCAACGTGTTAGTAATACACAGGGTAATACATTTTTCGACCATAATGTTCCTGATTGAAGTATTAATCCGAAGAGTTGCAGATACAGGGTTTTCTTTTGTTTTGTAAACATTGGCGCCATTTTGTATGGGCTGCCGTAAGCGGATGGAAATTTCTCCTAAAAGTCATCAGTTAATCCCCCGAAAATTGAAAAGAAAATGAAAGATGATGAAATGAGCTTTAATTTGATGTGTGTCTCGAACACTTTGGAAATATTTTTCCCGAATTTCTGAAGTGTCAGCATTTACCATTGGGGTCTATGGAAGTTTATTTACTGGTCTGCAACCCTGTATCAGGGTACGCCATCTTGAAACTCATAGCGAGGCAAACAACGCTAACATTATCGGCGTAAACATAGTTGTGTGCGGTGAACGAGTGACTCTCACCAAGTTACGGCAGATTGGCAATCTTATATTAAAGGATGGATAACTCAAATTCCCCCAAAATATAAGTATTCAGTGAGTGGAACATGGAGATGCCACCAATCATTAAAAAGCCTGAAACGCTACTATAAAAACCCTGAAACTACCCTCACCCCTTTCAAAATGTGTTTTCTGGATGTTTCAGACCAAATCTAGCACTTTTTATTTGCCACATTTTTTGAAAAAAAAAAACCCTGAATTCCAATTAAAACCAGAAAAAGTGGCATCTCTGAGAACATAAAAGCCTAAAAGACTTTTGGTCATTGGTATTTGTAACGCCAACGCACTGGTATTATGTGCTTAACAATGTGTAGAGTGTGTCAAAATAGGGATATCGGGACCAATGTCATGGTCATTCTAAAGCATGTAAACTTTTCATCATCAAAACACATAGGACAAAAGAATACAAAGACACAGACTGGTATTTTTGAATTGTATATATATATTTGTCTTCTAAAATCGAAAATCTTTCAGTTCCCGCATCTCTTGCAGGTTTTACAATGTGAAATCCAATCCTCTACACTAGTAAAATGAAATTGCATAATTATATTGTTGTTTTTCAATCAATTTTCAAACTCACCCGAAGCAAAATAAAGAACAAAAAAACCAAACAGATAAATCACGCCTCTTCCAAATAATTTCTTTTTCAATTCAGCGTCTTCTCAGCGCTTATTATTGCACATAAACTGTGGTTTTAAACATCGTAAAGTTTATTGATATACTGTATGCCTAAAAACTGTGTTTTTTCCCTTGTTTTTAATTTTGCAAGATTTATTGTTTCCTTGCAACGGCATACAATAATAATTTTTAATTTTAAGCTTATACGCATTTTTTTTGGTTGGGAGGGTTTACTATTATTCTTATGAACAAACTCATGAAAATGGAAAAGCCCCTAATGTATATCTATCAATAATTTCGGGTTTTAGATCGTCTCCCTGTCGCGGGTCACCCCTCATGACTTATGCATTTTAATTGACCCGATTACAAAGTGTCTGGGAACCAGTTAACCTAATCAGTTGGACTTGCCTTGCAGTGCGGACTCATACGCCTTGATATCATTATGTGTGGACACAGTGCCAGAATAGTCTACAATTTGTACGACTGTTGAAGGAAACGTGAACACCGTGAAACAGTGAATATGAATATTTGTCTGACTTGGCAAACAACCAAGTTGTTCGTTGTCCAGGCGCGGATCCAGGGGTGGGCCGCGGGGGCACGTGCCCCCCGTCAAATTGAGTCCACAAAAAAAATGAATAAAACAGGAGGGAAAAAGAGGTGGAGGTGAGAGAAATGGAGGGAAGGAGGAGGGCAACCTTCTAACAAAAATGCCGGCGCCGATATTAAACATCAGCGGCCTGCAAACATTGTGTAGTGGCCGTATGACACAGGGAACTCGAGAAGCTTCGAAGTAAACCGCGATCCCACCGTACGTATCCATACATAACCCTGCATGGTAGGCCTATATGGATTATGAAATGCGATTCATATGAGCGTACGTACCGGTACGAAAAACACGCACGTGTGACGGCCGATGTGCTGTGTTTAGCGCGATGAGCGCGACATACACGTTGAACCACGGATCAGATCCGTGGTTGAACGCTGCTCTTTGGACCACACTATTGGTCAAGGGGTGTGTTTTCGTATAACAATTTGCCAGCATTTCTTCCACGCACTTCCAAGGAGTCCAAAACATGTCCGTTTCAGTAAAAAATGTCCGTAGAAAATCTTATCTTATTGATAAACTGAAAATTTATACTTGACATACAAAACATTAGAAAGCATCCTTGCAAAAGTTTACAAACTAAGTCTATACAATTCCGTTTCAAAAATGCACGAAAACAATTATGCAAACGAAAATGGTTATCAAGTGAAAAACAGAAGAAACTTAAAAGGCTTGTTAAAGCAAGAGTATACATGTATATTAAACCAATGAAAAAAATCCTTATTTAACTTAAAACATTTTGCTCAAATAACTCAGGGAAAGAGGGGCCAGATATCGCCTCAGATTGCACCACAGAGCATCTAATTATCAAAAAAATTCCCGGGGCCCTTAAGCGGGCCCCGGACAAGGGCGGATCCAGGGGGGGGGCCAAAGGGGGCCATGGCCCCCCCCAAAACGAAACCAATTTTTTTTTTTTAATGTGACATCGCAATAAAGGCAGGCAATAAGTACACCACCATCTTTTCCTCCAAAAAAATTGGTTAAAGTGGTCAGAAATTGCCTCAGATCGCACCACAGAGCATCTAGAATCCAAAAAATTTTCGGGGCCCTCACGGGCCCCGAACCCCACGCCGTTATTTTTGAGACCCACTTTTTTGGGGGGGACCAAATTTTTTTGGCCCCCCCAAAAATTGTGTTCTGGATCCGCCCTTGGCCCCGGACCCACGCCGACAGACATTGCGCTCTGCATTATTAGTCCTCGGGGCAGATCTCCCGACGCATCCTTAAAACAGTTTACAATCTAAGACTATCCAATTCCTTTACAAAAATTAAATGCAAGAAATTGATTATGCAGTCGAAAATACTTGGTTATCAAGTGAAGAACAGAAGAAACTTAACTAGGCTTGTATTAAGAAATACAAGAGTACAATTTCAAACCAATGAACAAAAAATTTAAAAAAACACATGGTGTTACCGCAAACCGAAGCGATAATGAAAAAAAAATCCTAATAATCTTCACAACATTTTAATGAAATGGGGCCAGGAATCGCCTCAGTTTGCACCACAGAACATCTATAGAATCAAAAATTTCCCGGGGCCCTTCAGTGGGCCCCGAACCCCACGCCGTAAGACACTGCTTCACGTTCGCATTAGTCCTTGGAGCAAATGCCTCAGCGCATCGCCCGTTGCAACAGTTTACAATCTAAGTCAATACAATTCCTCTTCTTCTTTTTTTTTTAAATACAATGCAACAAATTATGAAGACAAAAATACATGGTTTGCAACTTTGAAGTACACAGTACCTTTAAATTTGTAAAAACAAGAGTATATTGTAAAAAAATCCTTACAAGTTTATCAACTTTTGCACAAATAATTCAGGGGGAAAGGGGCCAGGAATCGCCTCAGATTGCATCACAGAGCATCTAGAATCAAACATTTCCCGGGGCCCTTAAGCGGGCCCCGGACCCCACGCCGTAAGGGCTTCGCGCTCCGCTCTCGCATTAGTCCTCAGAACAAATGCTCTAAGATGTGCCCCCCGTCTAAAGAAATCCTGGATCCGCGCCTGTTGTCCATTACAGGTATTTCACATCCAATCCAAGGCATATGGAAATCGTAAAGACCCTGCCTTTAAAAAAAAAGTGCTTGAAAATCTTAGAGTGAAAAAGCTCGGCAAAAATACTTGTTTTCAAGTAACGCCTTCCGGCAGCGGCGGCGGAACAGGTTTGAAACTGGGGGGGCATGACCAAAAAGGGGCACTTGCAAACCCGTGCTGAAATGTCGACACGTTTTTTTTACCAGACACTTGGCCTCGGTAAAATCAAATAGTAGGGGTGGGGGTGGGGGGGGGGGGGGGCTGGTATCATCTTCCAACATAGGGGGCGCTCTTCAACAACCAATGATTATAAACTAACTATTCATTATGTGCCCATTTGCAGGGCATATTGTATGGGTTTTGGGACTTGGTTTTCATATTCCTCGTTTATATCAAAACTTTTTGGGGAACTAGTTACTTCTAAGAAATAGTACAATACTTTAAGGGAATTTTTTTCTTTATCTCGAGGGGACACTTTTATGCTCGAAGGGGGCACATTTATGGCCGCAAAAGGGGCACTTGGGAAAATCTGGGGGGCAAATGCCCCCCCCCCCCAGCCCCCCCGGTTCCGCCGCCCCTGCGGTCATAATTATGCGAGCAATACCACTGATTCCTGCTCACTCTCCAGTCTAATCAAAGGTTCTTTTTTTTTCTTCAGGTAATTTTTTGTTTTGTTTTGATTTAAGAAAAGCTAACAGAGAAGTTCAATATTTCTATTTTGAGGGTTGTTTTGTTTTACTTTGCCGGCTCATCGTCTGCGTCCCGAAGCCAATCAAAGAAGCTGATGACAGATTTGAGGGCCACGCTTTTACCCAGATTCTCGTTGGGGTCCGAGCTCTCCTGCCAGGCATAGAAGGTTTCCTCGGGTATGACATCCTCGTCGTAGAGGACATTGAAGACGTGTCCTAGTAGTCCTACAAGGAAGGAAAAATTAGAAGTCCTTTATCCATTGGTGCTTGTGCTACATATTGTACTACATTGTATTACATTGTTGATTACATTGTGTTCCCTAATCATTATAGACACACTCTTGGAAAAAATGGTCCGGTTAACATTGTTAACTTATTTCTTATGATGGGACTTGCGGTTTGGCCGAAGTCAATTGAGCGTGATCAGCTGACTGATATGGTTTACGTACAAAACCTCGAGCCAACGAGGTTTTTGTATAGAAAGCTGCCGGACCACATTTTGCGAGAGTGTGTCCGTAATGCTTGAAGCCTGCCGGTAATGCTGAGCCTGCATACTGCCAAAGTTACCAGTGGCATCCCTACATTTTCTCGTGCAAATAGGACCCATTTTTGGACCCTAATTTTATCAAATCTGCTCTTAGATAATAGCCCAAAAGCTAGGGAGATGATCCTCGGCTATATTCGCACAATTCCACCGATTTTTCAACTAGACGGTCTCGTTTTTAAAAAAAAATTGTGGGGGCACTTTTTATGCAAATTAACGACTCGCGTAGAAATTTTTGAAACCCTCATCAAAATTATTACGCCCGCTGTCGGTCTTATTGCGCCATTCTGATATATCTTCTGTCTAGCCCCCCCCCCCACCACCACCACACCGAAAAATAATAGTAATTAAATACTGTTTAAAAATGTGCTCGTTTATTCAGAAATTCATGAAGCATATTCAAACTGATTGGATGTTTCCAAAGTGTCTTTCCCATTTGCAAAAGTTCTTTTTAAAAGCCCATCAGCCATTAGAGACACACTCTCGGAAAAAAATGGGCCGGTTAACATTCTTTAGTACATGAGTGCTACTACATGTACTAGCAGTTATGAACGTGAAGTCTAATTCCTGCAAAGAGTGACAGACGGCAAGTCTCATTTTATGTTTAGGTGCATAAGGCATAATAGGATCATTTGCATTAATCCCAAAAGTAACCTACCAAATTATTATTATACAAAAGCTTTCTAATGGATTAAAGATTGTACTGTTACTAAAAACCCTGTGAAACTGTTCCGTCGGGCTTGCTGAACGTTATTTAGAACAAATCAAGAAATGAAGGTGATTCCAACGATCAATCAATTAACTGATTTTTGAAGTAAAGAGTGCTATTCAGGAAATCGAGCCCATTACTAATCTGGCTTTAAACATTAGGGAATGTTTAATTACAAATTTTAAATTATTCATTGAAGCAGACTGGAATTAATTAGTTATTAACTTGCTTTCATTTTTTCTTCGCAAGTTTCAAAAAATAAAGATTTTATCGCACTTTCAATTCAATATGGCCGACTGGTGCATATAAGGCCCATACAAGAAAAACATACAGATAAGTGAAAATACCCACGGGTTTATCAAGAGTCTAGCTGTTTCAGTAGCCCGGCTGGCTAGTGAAAACAAACTTACAGTCAAACCCTGCCTTCCGGATCAGGCACTTACCGGACCACTGCGGGGGGACATGAGATACTCTGGGATGAAGTCAGTCCCTCCTCTGCTGTAGCCTGGGGGATCAAAACTGCGGGGAGGCCTTATGTCAGCCTGTTGGAGGAGATATAACACATTTTGTCTCGTAATGCTACCTACTATAGTACGCACAGCAACAAAGTATGTAAAAAGTCCGAACACTGCAATAGGCCAGTTCGGTATTTCAATGACCCGAGGTCATTCAGGCCGGATAACATCACTGACGTGATGTTACGCTATATTCAAGCACGTCCATTCCGCTGGTAATTTACACATAAGTGTTGTGCCCTCGAGTTCTTGCGCCTTCGAAATGTTCGATTATCCCAGCTGACCTGTGACCATATCGTTGTGCACATGCATGCACAGTTGAAATACCGTACTGGCTTATTATGTGTGCAATATTTCATAAATTATATTTATTACACTTTTCAGTATTGCTTTGTGAAATCTTGAGGTTGTCTGCCGTCTGGATGCTGCAATATACCAATTTAATATGGTTTGAGGGTGGATAGTCGATATTAACTCCTCGAGCTATTCGACATGTTGGAAGTTGACAAACAAGATCCACGGGGAAGCCGAGGGAACTAGTATGTCAATTTCCAATACTGAGGAGAGCTAATAACAATTACTGTACCTCATACATATTAATGATCGAGAGACGAACTCTCACTGGTCAATTCACCATCACGTGCCAGATGTTATTTTTGCTGTTTACCAAGCGTGAGCACAGAGTTAATATGCATGCGTAGTAGTCTGTTGCACGGGCTACCCGTGCGACAGTCTACTATGCACACGCTTTACAAAGCAATCGTGACTGTCGCACGGGTGTAGTACGCATGGGCAAACATCACCCAAACGAGCTACACACGTACGAAGAGATGGTTTTCCCAAGCTCAATGATGCTGAACATCCTGTACAAAGAATATTGAACACAAACTACTGTATTTACAGCTGCACTGTATTGTAAACAAACTGAGCTAGTGAATTTGAGCAGTACGATTCTAGTGGTACTGGACAAGTTTTTAAAAAAACTTTTTTGAGGTGCATACTGCAGCGAATAAAAACCCCAAATCGGCACTGAATATTGTAGAGATATATAGTAAAACAAATATAACATGGTTTATTTTGGGTGGGCAGCCGATAATTATTAGCTCCCCTCAGTACTGGAAGTTGACAAACTAGTTCCCGGGGCGAAGTTTGTCAACTTTCAATACCTCGGGGAGCGAATATCGATTGTCCACCCTCAAACCATGTTATATTTGTAAACTATCCACCCTCAAACCGTGTATGATATTGTGGCATAAAGACTGGAGAAAACATCCGAAATAAACCAACTCCCAAATGAGCCAAGTACATAGTTATACATGTACCTCAAACACATTCACCAAAATGTGGCCCTGTTAAGCATGAGCGATATTGGTAGAATATTACTGGGTAACCAAAGCACTATTCTACTAAGCTTGCATATAACCCTGTGCGTGAATCCTCGCCTGTGAGCTTGGTAAACAGCAACAAAAAACGGCTGATATGCCGTGGTAAGGGGACCAGTGGGAATTCGGCTCTCGATCATGAACATGTATGAGGTAGAGTAAATCAATATAGATTTTTGGACACAAAAGACAGTGATGAGGTTGGATCTTTATGTTTGCTTTCTGGCCGGCCGGATGTCGGTTCAATAAGATGGTGGGAGATATTTCTCTTTGTTTTGGGTATACCTTGTCCAGCACAATGTCTGGAATGTGTGGAAGCCCTTCTGGTTTGTCTATGCAGTATTGCCGAAATTGCAGCAGAAAGTCGCGAGTGTATTGCTTCCTGACTTGCGGATTCATGGGGCTCCACTGGTCTGTGTTCAAACATTTTTAAATGGAGAGTAAGGATTAACAAAAAAATAACAAAGTTTTCAATCAAAATAAAACTCCGTGTAGAATTTGAAGGGTTTACACAAAATGATAGAACGTTACATTATTGACGAATAGAACCCAATATCAGATGTATATGTTGATCTCTATATTTTGATATCTCGTAGAGTGCATGGCAAGTTATTATAATTTTTTGGGTTACGTTTTTACATTTTATTTATTCTCGTTTAAACCAGTTCGCACCGGATGACGAGAATACATGCAAAGGCTTTGTAGTATTCGGAACGGACGACGGATAAACACGCAGGGAGCGAGGCCGGAAATATCCATCAGCGAGCGAGGCCGGAAATATGAGAGTGCTGCCCGAGGGTGATGGCTTAAACCTGCCTGGCATTGAGGTCAAGTGAAAACCCCTGCGCCTCATTCCATTCTTGAAAAATAATGCCGGTGCGAACTAGTTAAGTACTAGTTAAAGTACTGATCTTGCTTTTTTCTGAATTATTTTTAAGTGAACCTAATGACACGATAGTTAAAACAAAGAAAAGAAAGTGTGGTATTAGAGAGGCACACATCATGGGAATAGTGCCTCTAATAATTACGACCAGCTGGCTGGTCTTAAACACTTTTCCAGTGCAACATGAAATTTGGACTCATACATGTATGAAATCTGGTGCCTTTTACCGTTTTATTGGTTGAACGTTCACAATCCTTACAAAGGCATGCGCAATACTACCAGTGACTCAGTATTTCCTAAATTCACACTACACCGGCACAGCTGCGTTCTGCGCCACATCGCGCAGTATGCGTGACACGAGTGCCAATCTCTATAAGGAGCTGTTTACCACTTTTTTTTGCGACAGGGAAATTCCATAATATAGTTAGAGGGGTGTTTTGAAAAACATGAAGTAATATTGATGAACAAAATCGTTCAACTTGATGTGAATCTGGTTGCCACCAAGCTCGTTTACTATTGCTTGTGCAACTTGGCCCCCTGAACACCCCCAGAGTGCAAGGAACCCTCGCGGGATTATAAACACCATGTCTCATATCACAACAGCCAACTGATGTTGTTCAATGGCACTGACATAATTGGTCTTATAGCTTCTTTGTCACCTGAAGGCATGTCCTCGTCTGGCATCAATGCATTCTCACCGGCCGTGCTCAGCTTGATGGTCTGCAAAACTGGCTGGATGACCTTCTTGGGCTCCTCGGATGAATGGCGTCTGCTGAGTTCAGGGGAGGCGGAGACTGATACTGTGAAGTCTAATTTCTATACAGAGTAACAGGTGGCAAAGAGTGACAGATGATTTATATTCATCTTGGGAATTATCCATTCTTTGTTATACTTACAGATCATGTACTTATATCAATAAATATATCGGATTGTTATGTACTGTTATTTATCATTTTTTTTTAAAAGAACCCAGCATGTGCGTTAAATGTACAATTTCTTTGATTGCACCCTCAGCTCACCACTTTACTTGTCTAAAGTTTGCCTAGTCTTCGCAATGTATTCGTGTATCATTTTGTTCTTCTTATACAGGGTGGATAAAAAAAACACCGAGATATTATTGCAAATTGGAATAGAAGTAGGGCACATGTGAATCAAAGGGAGATATCTTCTGTTAGGGTTGAATCTCCTCTTTAAAATGACACCCTGATCATGTCATTACATTCACGGTTGACTGAGCAGTGACCAATTTTTTGAAGGGGTCTATTTAGACAATTGCGCCACTTTTTAATTGTGGGTTTTGTTGTGTCAATTGTTACAAAGTGAATGGTTGCCAATCAAGGCAGGTGGGGGAAAAAAAGAGAGATTTCACCATGAAAGGTGGCGCAAGTCTCTACATAGACCCTTTCATAAAATTGGTCACTGCTCAGTCAACGGTGAATGTAAGGACATGATCAGGGTGTCATTTTAAAGAGGAGATTCAACCCTAACAGAGGATATCTCCCATTGATTCACATGTGCCCTACTTCTGTTCCAATTAATGGAAATGGAGAATTTAAGTGGACTTTGTTTACAAGTGTTCTATTACCTTCCTATTTACAAATTCTTTGACATCTACTCCGATGGGTAGAAACATGTCCCACGTGAAGCCCGACGACTGCCACATCTCACCTACAGCATCAGCACCCTGCAAAATACCACAAATACTAATTCAAAGTACTAAAACATTTAAAGTGCAAAAATTCAAGCTCATACATTCAGTTCACATGACTATTTTAAAGTTAAGTATTTGTGTCATTAATCTTCAAACCTGTAATCCATGTCCTAAATCCTTAGCATTCAAATTGAGGGCATCAAAATCCTGCAACTTTCAGGAATTGTTTTCAGGATGGGTCCCAAGTTGTTGGAATATCCAGGAGGGGATACTGAGAATTTCGGATGCTAAAACTCAATTTAACAAAATACGATTTGATGATGCAAACCCAACAACGGAAAGCAAGCAAAATAAAGCCAATCAAAGTTAAGCTAAGCATTGTTACACAAAGCTATAAAGCAAACATTTGTTTAACTTATACAGAAGGCTTTAGAGTGCCGGGATAAAAAGCCCCTGGTCTCTTGGCTGATTTGGGGGAATTGACATGAGTGGGTAAGTGGCAGTCGACTTTCAGGTAGCTCGTCAGGTAGCTTGTGATCAGGTAGCAGTATCCAGATCATCTCCGTTGTTAAGGAGACACTAGGTCTTGGAACAGCCCAATTGGGCTACAAAACGTGCTTTGAACAAGATTATGTTAACCGGAAAGAACATTTAAAATTAGGATAGAAACATCCACACAACTATCCTTGAAAAACTGGGCATTTTTGTGTTATTCCTGTATTATGCGTGCGAGAATGAATGTCGGGGTCCACTTTTGCAACCCCATAAATTTAAGCCGTTTGGATGCTAGTTGTGATTTCATTTGTACGCGTAAAGTGTTCGCCTTATGCAGACGTTGAAGAAACCACAATTTTTTTGCATTGGTGATTGGTCACTTCTGTTCCCGAGACACACAACGTGTATATCGTATGAGAACGACACAAAAAACGTATTCGTACTCCGTCGTGTCATAAACGGCAGGTTTTGTTTGTCTTTTCTCGGGAACGGTAAGACATTAGGTTGGTTTCCTTTCAACCACATGTTTGAAATGGGATGAGTAAACAATCCAAAACATGAAAATTTCGGGGATTTCAGGACCTAGTGCCCCTCTAATTATCGGCTTCACACCGTACGTAGCCTCATCATCCAGACACACCGTGTCAATGTGGCACTCTGCTGATATTGGGAATTCTTAGCCTTATATAGTCCACAACTAATACAAAGAAAACTATTCGGAAGGATCTGATTGAACGCAAAAAAAAGAACACCAAGGAGCTAAACACATTCCACAAGTTGAAGACTGGTAGATTCCAGAGAGGCATTATCATGCCTAATGCCTATTATAGTTCCAACATAATAAAGATTGTTCCAGTGAGTTCTTTACATTAGGAAAGCTAATCAAATACAAGTTACAAATAAGAAAACTCAAACAAAATGAAACAAACCCTTCAACTTAAAAAATCAGCGTGGTTTGGTACTACTAACAAGGGACAGATCTTAAGTTCATTGACTTTTCAGAACTGACCAACGTTTTTAAACAGCACCTTATATGTGCCCAGGAAACGCTGTTATGCTGCATATTTAGGAAACTACGGTCCAAAATTCAAAATCCTCCACAATCCCATCAGTATCTTAGGTAACTCACATTTAACTTGACGGCTGTTCGTAGAATCTCAGCCATGAGGTCCCCAGCCTTGTCCACGGCCCGGACCGGTTCCATCATGTCGGCTAGCAGCTTCAACGACAGCGAGTTGTCTCGGAATGTGGCGCCAATCATCTCCCCCAAGTGTCTCCAGATTCGAGGGATTTCAAGCACCATGTCATCGGCATACATCAATACCTCTTTGAAACTATTGGGAAAAAATTGTTACACTTTTCCAACTGTAAAGTAAAAACAACACTGATATATAGTTAGCACTTTTACCTGTGCGTTCTATTAGCTCATCCTGATCAACTCTGGTTAGCCCCACCATGCCGTTTGATTAGCTCTGACATCATTCTCGGGCTCACCCGGGTCAGCCACCACAGACCCTGCCCATGGAGCAGAGTCAGTGCTGGAAATACGTCACACACACGCCTTGTTCATTTCAAGAAACGGACAACTATGGTGGCCGGACAGCAGAAAAGATCAAATGGAACCAAAACTCAACTTCGTTTGAAGTGCAAACATAACTATTTCTTTTATCTCATTGCGACGTTATATAGAGTCTATAATTTTAGCTGTCATTGTTACTTTTTGCAATTGACAGAAAAGCAGTAAATCTGAAAGCAAGACTCATGGCTATGGATGTCACAGGAAGATTATGATGGCCCGCGTTTGAGCGTTCGATTAGCACGGCTCTCGTGGCTAACCCATCTGCCTTTACCCGAGTCGATCCGGGTAATAAGCTGCTCAAATGCACCCTATGTATCACCAACTATCATGTAGATTTTGTCAAGTTCTTACAAGTAGAACAACCATAAGTCATTAAGTCTGAAGTCATGTGACAAACTTTCACTTGAACTGCAATTTTCCTTTGTCATTTCATTGACTGACTGGCTTTACTACATAAAATTCTAGTGGGACCACTACGGCATATTCTTTGTATTTACAGGGACATGAAGCCAATGCCAAGTCTATAAGTTGCTGGCCTCTATCTTCCTCTATTCCTCGAACATATTTTAGTTGACTGTGATGAAGAACGTACCTTTAGCCGCTAGTCTACAGTACTCTCAGCCCAAATCCTGTCACTACAACTAGTAACCTGTATGTAAACTACCCTGGCACCACGCACAGGCTCAAGTCAGACTCAATCCTCCTTTCAATAGACGGCGTTCCCCCCCCCCCCAAAAAAAAACCCCTCAAAGACAAGTCTGTTATAATGCCTAATTATAGTTATACTGCAAGTCCATGCAACACACAAATATAATTGTAAGAAATTTGACATTGAAAGATATTTCATGTTTCACAAACTCACCCATCCACAAACTTTGCTTTGGTGAGGTGGCCTGCTTTCAGCAGCTTGTGGAACAGCATACCCACCGAGTACCTGGCCTGCTGGTTCTTCTCTAGCGTGCAGTTCATGGCTGCGCGGACTACAACGTGCATCAGGCTGGGCGAGTTCAGCTCATTCAGGCACATGATGACTTCCTGTCGGCCAGAGAAAAACAAGGAAACAATAAAACAGCATAAACATGTTCAGACCACACAATTCCAACTCGTACTTTACAAGAACAGGACCATGGCACATCAATATGTGGAGTCTGTGTACAAATATACCCTCTCATTCAGTAAAAAAAAAAACATACCCGATATAACAGCATAAACTGTTCATACCACACAATTCCACTCGCACTTTGTGACAAGAACAGGACTGCATGGCGTCTCAATATGTGGAGTCTGTGTACAAATATACCCTCTCATTCAGTTACAAAGACAGAGTTGGGGAGACCACTGGGAGAGACTCAAATGCAAAGCTGCCGTACACCTGACACTCACACGAGGATGATACTGTACATGCATGGAGTCAATGCCAAAGTTGTAGCATGGGCAGTATAAATGGTAGTTGCACATTGTTGAAGTGCCAGAACGTGCTACGTTCAGAACAAAACCATTTCCACACCACAGTAAACCACTAGCTTTTTTAGAATCAGCAGAAGGGTCAATAGTCATTTATTTGCCCCAAGTCTCATGCAGTTTCTGGCACTACTTTTTTTGTTTTTTTACCCCTGTGATCAAAAAGATTTTCAGGCTTGTAGATGTCTTGGCATATTGGGGGAATTCCATGAATTCTCTTCACTCTGTGATTTTTGAGAGAATTTGTCACCAATTAGGAAATAACAATTGGGTTTTGCCCTGCACCACCAAGTTATGGCCAAAGCAAATATTTAATTTTGGGTTTTTTTTGTGATGGACACTAAGTTAAATCTAAGTTATCTTTTGTTTTCTTCCTTCAACAAGTGGCCTATTCCTAAAACTTTTCTTTCCTTCAACAAGCGGCCCATTCTTAAAAAGATCATGACATAGGGTGGATACATTTTGGCCAAGACTTTTTACCTCAATGTCCCTGATATTGAGGTAATCCTCGATCATCCCCATAGCCTTCATCTCAAACTCGCCTTCGCTGAGTTCACGGGAGGCAGAGACTGGTTTGACTGCCATTGCGCAGTGTATGGCCGGGCCCCCTATAAGAGAAAAAAATCTACTTTTAGGTTATTGGACTAATTACCAAACTAGTAAGTGACATTGCAAACCAACAGGTATGTTGTAGATAGAGGGGAAGCTGGGGTTTGATTTGTGAGGGAAATTTCGGGGTAGGCCTAAAGCAACGATGAAGACGACAAAACGCAACACGAAAATAAAGATGGCGAACACTGCGTCACACATTGAACACCCAAACCGCATTTTCTACCGCAAGAAACAATACAAAATTACAAAAAATGAAGTCATTGGAATTAAAAGAAGTCTGCTTCAGGTAAAAAAGGTCATTTTGGAATTAAAAAAAAAAACACCTTTGACTGTAAATTGATCAAAACTAAAGGCCGGGGCCCTACACAATCGCTGGTTTGACTGCCTCCTTGATGGGATGGAGCTGGCTCAGTAGTTTCCCTGAAATGGTCAACAATCAAAGTTTCATGATGCTAGTTTGTGTTTTATCCTCGATGACATTTTGACAAGCAGTGCATCAGAGTTGCCCACCTCCAACAAAATCAGTATTCCTGAAGCCATCAATCTGTATTTTCATTCCAATATATCAGTATTTTTCACAATTGATGAATTATGATTTCCATAGTCAGAGATAATCATTCAAGCCAACGTTTTAAGTCAAACCAAGAAAACCGATATTCTTACACATATGTCAAAATACGGAAAGATTTCCATATACGAAGTTCACTAATTTTAATTCCTCTGTGTTGACTAACAAGCCCCCAGATAGCAATTTCATGTCATCAAACTCAATTTGAGCAGTGAGAAAATACAAGCATTTTCTTAGAAAACACTTCAAATTTTTCAGTCCAATCTCATAGGGTTTGTACACAGGGTGTTGAGTGAACTTTGTATATGGAAATCTTTCCCAAAATACTGATGCATGTTTCCAGTGACTAGAATCCAGACTTCGCAGACAAAAATTTAACTTACAACTTTTCACCCCAACAATCCACAGAATCGTCCGGAACAGCTAGTACATCATTTATAGCAGTCGCTTCAGCAGAACTCAGTAATGTGGATTTCTCAGGCTAACACTAGACAGGCCTACAGTGAGTGTTCAGTCAGATTCAGCTAAGAGAAACAGTTACGAGAGCAATCCTTATAGTATATACATATGTTTCAAATAAACCATGGATTTCTGAACAAAAACTCTTAAAACAGTAATTTTTCATATTTTTATTAATTTTAATAACACAGCAAAATCAATCTGCTTAAGAAGAGAACAAACAAATTTCATGACATTGAAATTTTCCACAAAGGTTAAAAAAAAACATTATTAAGGTAATAATATATCATCAGTATTAAACTTAGTGAATTTGAAGTTTGGCAACAACAAAGAGGTTTGTTGGCAACACCGCATGAGGAGAGTCGGGGAAACGTCGAACTCACTCGAAGTACTGTCATTGACAAGTGCTGTCATGACTGTGCGCACGATTTAGGCCTACGACGAGAAACTGACAAATAGTTGCTTGGAGGTAAGGCCCCCAAAAAACCGGTAAGGAGAATACAAATGAGAACGAAAGTTACCCCACTTCATGTACACATTCATGGCATTCCTTAAGGCCACTTTATTTGTTCACATCAACCGGTAATTTGATGGGGAAAAAATCAATAATATTCTGACGAACTCACCGCTACGCCGAAACATACCCACTCCGCGCGACATTGCTCAATCACGTGACGTCAATGGCCTGGATGGGGAATTCCCCTAAACTGTGCTAGTCTCCTTATCAGCAGTCTACACCTCCGCGCGCCGCGCCCCGGCCGGTCCCGTACGTGCACTGCTGGCATGGCATGCAACAGTAAATTCACCTAAAAAGGAGGCCATTCCAAAATTTGGAAGACTTTGTTAAATTCAATTTTGAATGACGAAAAGGAGAATAAAACAGAGGCAATCAACTGATATATTAAAGTTGCATTTTTTTTTACAGTTCTGTTGTCCGAAAGAGGAGTGACGACAAGGGCGTTTCCAGGGGGAGGGACCCAGCCCCCCCCCCCCCAAGCCCATGGTAAGTGACGATGCAATAAAGGCAGGCACATACACCACCATCTTTTCCTCACCCAAAAAATGCTCAAGTGGTCAGAAATGTAAGAATGTAACGTACATGCGAACGGTCTCCCCTAAATAAATAGTCAACACCAAGAAACTAGACACCCCTGTTGGTCATCACTTCAACTCCATTTCTGATATGATTTTGCAGGGCATTGAATCTCTTGGCCATCGCAAGGACTCAGTTCGCCTCAGCAGAGAGAAAGTGTGGATGAATCGTCTTCGAACTATTCAACCACATGGTCTCAACATCCAACTTGGAAATGATTAATCCTTTTCTTCCTCCATTGTCTTCTGTTACAGATAATCCATCTGGTCTTCCTTGTTTGTGTTTACCCATCTTCCCCATCTTTCATCCCTTTCCTCCTCAATACTGTCCCCCCCCCCCACATCATCCCTTCACTCTCACACTCTTTTGTCCGTCCCCACTCCCTGTGACCTTTGATCCTTCCCCTTTCTGGTCCCTCCCCTGTTTACACAAGACCCCTTGTGGTTTGCCATCTCCCATCTCCCCCCTCCCATCTCCCCTGCATCTGTCCACACCTTTCACACCTAATCCTCCTTTTGTGTTTCTTCTTTCAGCCCTGCATGTTTGTGTGCACCCCCATGTTAATGTATGTACCTCTGTCATTTCTGTTTTAGCCTCTGAAGAAGAACTTGCTAAGTTCGCAACGTCAGGCCACATTAATTTTAAGATTTAAATAAATAGTCGTGAGAAGGGTGCATTTGTACACTTTTAGTAATAGTATGCCTGTTGGCGGATTTTATCAGCGCTCCCCATTGAAAATATGGCTCGAGCTCCCCCCCCCCCCCCAACCCCAACCTATTGATTTTCGGAGGCCTAAGTGTCTGGAGAAAATAGCCGGTCTACATTTCAGCACGAGCTCCCGGAAAAAAAATCTGGATCCACCCTGCTAGCCCCCCAAAAATATTGACTCTAGAACTGCGCCTGCCCCCCCCCCCCCAAAAAAAACTGTGTTCTAGATCCGCCATTGAGGACAGATGGTACTACTTTTGGTAGTCCGTTTTCTTGAACATGACGCAGCAAAGCTCAGCTCTCGTCTAAATCCACAGGCTGAATTAACTCGAGACAGGGGCGGCGGAACGTTTTTCAAACTCCAGAGACGTGTCAAAATAGTGGTGACGCAACCTCGTCACCGGGGATACTTTATGTTCAACTCGTTTCTAATAGTATCCCTGTATATCCTGAATACAGTATAAGAGGATTTATATCGTGTACTTGTTTTTATTTCCAATGTGTATTCTATTATTAAGTAACATTTTCACTCAAACAATTTGATTTCTCGCGACCCACACCGCGACAAATTGTGGTGCTTTTTTTTTTTTTATCCCGACACCGCATACACAAACACACACACTGCCAGGCACAAGACCAGATTCCCAATTTGCATACAACTTTTGGATATGGCAGGTAGTGATGGGTGCGTACTGCTCGGCAACATGGGAACGAGCTTGATGGTGAACAAGTCCTGGTCATTGTAAAGCATGCAAAATGTTCAAGTCATCATCAAAACACATAGGACAAAAGAATACAAAGACACAGGCTCGTATTTTTAAATTGTATATATATATTTGTCTTCTCCAATCGAAAATCTTTCGGTTCCCGCGTCTCTTGCGGGTTTTACAATGTGAGATCCAATCCCTCTACACTAGTAAAATGAAATTGCATATATTGTTGTTTTCAATCGATTTTCAAATTTACCCGAAGCAAAATAAAGAACAAAAAAATCACGCCTCTTCCAAATAATTTCTTATTCAATTCAGCGTCTTCTCAACGCTTATTATCGCATATAAACTGTGGTTTTAAACACCACAAAGTTTATTTGTATTTACCTAAAAAATTGTGTTTTTTCCCCCTTTTTCTAATTTTGCAAGATTCATTGTTTCCTTACAACGTTTTACAATACAGTGGCATCCCCAATTCTTCCATCTTTAGTAGTAATAGTTCAATATGTATATAACAACGAGACAAAGATAAATTTATAAAGAAAGAATAGTGAAAAAATTAACAAATAATCGACACCATCCAACAAACCCGCATAAAACTATAATATATCCAATTTTTTTCTCTTTTTTTTTATGTCAACTTAAGTTCATCATCTAGTGCAGCACTTTTCTCTGAAATGTTTTCTTTTTTTTCTCAATTGTTAGTATTTTTTATCTCAATCTTATTTTCCTTCATGAAAATTCCAAGTGTTAAGTTCCAGGCCCAGCAAATCATCTCAGGCGAACTTTTGTAGAAGAATAAGTAGGTTACAGTTCACAGTCTGTAATTGTTTTGTTTTTGTTTTTAAATCTGATATGCATTGGAAAATGGTCATGCAATATTATACAGGCTGCATGAATACATAATTAAATGATGAATATGCATTAATGCTCAACCACCAGGTCAAAGGTTGAAGGTCAAAGGTTAAATAAGCAGAGATTGACATTTAAAGGGGTACTGCTAATTCCAGCTCGCCAACTTTGTTAAAAATCCTGGAATTTTTTTTTATCATCGACATCCTCTCGAAAAAAAGCGAGATTTTTGTAATTACTAAAAAAGGCATTCTCCTTGAAAAGGCAAATTTGTTTGTTTTTCCTTTTTTGTTTTGGCAAAATAATTATTAAATTAGTACAACACAATACCCCAAACCTGATTCAAGTTTTCTGGAATAATGAAATCAATGTACAAAATTTTGAAAGCTTAGAGCTTTCATTCACCATAGAATCCGTATACTGACAAATAATCGATATTAAAGACAAACAAATATTACTGCTATTTTCTGTGAAGAATTAACGTCAAAAACGGTGAAAGGTTAAAGTAGGATGCCAATGTCAACTTCATCCATAATGTGTGGTTTTCTGTGGGAAAAGACTTCTTTAAACACCCCCGTATGTGTAATGGTACATTCCAGGCAGCAAGAAATAAGTCTATACACTACTGTACAAAAACGAGTCTTCTGTGCCGAACGGCACGTTCAAAATTCTCAGAAGAATCCCAAGAAAAAAAATCAAATATATATTTTAATATAACGAAAACTTTCTTAAGTCAATTTTTGACCATCAACATAACAAATGAAAGAGTATTAAAGAAAAACCGAAAGGGCTCGCGAATAATTTATTGTCTTTTTATGCATCAATAGTGCTGCATTATAATAATTTGCTTTTTCTTACAAATTCCATTTCCAAATTTTAAATTTTTTTTGGTATTCTTTTTAAATTTGTTTATTTCATAAAAAAGCTAGGGGATGCCACATTGCAGTTTCATACACAAATCTTCAAAAGGTTTAAAATCTTCAAGACGCTTTTGAAGCAAAAAGGCGGCGACTAAAATCAGAGAGATTCAACGAGACCAGGAGGTGAGGGATAAACTGATACCAGCCACTGAAATAACACAAGACTCGAGGCTGTTTACCGGTGAAGAAAGCCACAACATCTCCACTGGTATCCAGCAGGCAACTGCGAGACCCACTTACAAAGTGTCTGGGAACCAGTTAACCTAATCAGTTGGACTTGCCTTGCAGTGCAGCCTCATGCACCTTGATATCATAACGTGGGGACACAGTGCCAGAATAGTCTACAATTTGTACGACTCTTGAAGGAAACGTGAACACGGTGAAACAGTGAATATGAATATTTGTCTGACTTAGCAAACAACCAAGTTGTTCGTTGTCCACTACAGGTATTTCACATCCGATCCAAGGCATTTGGAAATTGTAAAGACCCTGCCTTTGTAAAAAAAAAAAAAATGGTGCGAATAGAAACTCTCACAGTGAAAAAGATACATGTATAAAGCAAAAAATTGTTTCCAAGCAACACCGTCCGGTCGTACGCTAGCTATACAACTGATCCCTGCTTACTCTCCAGTCATGTCAAAAGTTCATTTTTTTTTCTTCAGGTAAATTTTTGTTTTGTTTTAAGAAAAGCTTTGGAGAAGTTCAATATTTCTATTCGAGGGATATTTTTTTGTTTTACTTTGCGGGCTCATCGTCTGCGTCCCGAAGCCAATCAAAGAAGCTGGTGACAGATTTGAGGGCCACGCCTTTACCCAGATTCTCGTTGGGGTCCGAGCTCTCCTTCCAGGCATAGAAGGTTTCTTCGGGTATGACGTCCTCGTCGTAGAGGACGTTGAAGACATGTCCTAGTAGTCCTACAAGGAAGGAAAAATTGGAACTCTTTAATCCACTGGCGCTTGTACAACTCAAGCTGAATCATGTTTTTAAAATTTTTCATGAAATGGCACCAGACTATCTCTGTCATAAATTTAGGAAGGTCTCAGATATGCACAATTATTCTACCAGGGGCAGTTCCACCAATTTTGTTGTTTCAAGAATTATAGGGCAAGAGTGCACTTCATTTTTTAATACTGGAATTCATCAATGGAATTTACTTCCAAACAGCATCAAATGTTCCAACAATCTTCCTCATTTTAAAAGGGCAGTGAAAGAACATCTCTCTTCTTATTAATTTAGTTTTTTAAGCAGCTGAGAATTTTGTGATTCCTGTGTTTTTTTCTTTAAATTATTTTTCTGTTGATCCAGTGCAATTTTTTTTTAACTTTTTTATTTGTACTTGTACTTGTACGTGTGTTTTTAAGGACCCCGATGGAATTAAGCCGTCTTATAAACAGCTTTTTGGGTTATCCTTGGCTTTGTATTAACATGAAATACATTCGTTTTTAAAAATACCATTTATGTTTGTTTGTTTTTTTGCCAAAATAAATAAATAAAATAAATAAAAATACTACATAGTATACTTTTCAAATTTCATCATTTTTCATAAACCGTTGTCAATCTTGGACAATTTACAGTCTTGGGTAGCAAACAGGGTATCAAAATGTAGCAAACAAAACTCCCAATGGGTGAATATAAATGACGTTATCATAAGACGATCAGATTCAAAATTATGACCCCTCCAATGTGTGTAGACTTCCTTTTTTGACTGTGTTTAGTTCCTGTGTTAAGTCCCAGAATATTAGGAGTTTACTGTGGTTATTTTTTTCATTTTTTTTTTAGTGATTCCTTTGTTGTTTCAGTATATGACAGTAAGACAATGCGAAAACTTTACGCACAAATGTTTTCAATAAGCAGGATTTTGGGGTTTACAATTTAAAGAGAAAAACCTTTATCTGAAGAGTGCGTTCCTAACGTGATGTCACAGCAACAGCGGTTGTCCGGAAAAGCATGAAATATTTTAAACGCTTAAAAAGTGCATTTTTCAAACATATTTAACCCCCCCAATAAATGTCTCATAGTTTTTAAACATTTCGAAGGAAAAGATATTTGCTAACAAATATGTTCCAGTGTAAAATTCATTTCATGGCCCTTGAACACATAACTTTGACAAGCAATATATTTTTTATTAGCAGCTCCCGGGAATTGGGCCAAGTGACTTACTTGGTGGATTCTCCAAGCTCTGGTTCAAGGCCTGTACAGCGTAGAGTGCTTGCAGTTCAAGATGGTTGTCGTTGTTGATGTAGCGTTTCAGGATGGCCATCCGGACTGTAAGTAGATCGTGGTTCATTCTGCAGCTCTCTGCTTCCCCTGCGGATGGATCAAACCCAAAACCATTCAATGCTCGGGTCTCTAAATCCTTCCAAATCCATCAGAACTTTTAAAACTGGGAATCTTTTTGAATCCTACACATTCAAACCTACAAATTCAAACCACCTGGCACTTTTCTTCCGAGGTATTGATTCCTGCAAAATCCTACAAAGACTCTTGGTGGATTTTGCAGGGTCTGGGAGGGTTACAGGGTCCTGCAAGCAGGACTTCAGTTACTGCGAGTGCACTGCTTGCAATAGACTTGTTTGCGAGTTGGCAACGCCCCTTAGACAACCATACGGAATTTGTGGACGTTAAGGGACCGTGACCATTCAGCCCCGTTATGAAAAGGGCCCCCCGGTAAGCTCGTCCCCTCCCAAGAAGTCCTTTCGTACCGTCCCAGCTACCGGCCCAGGAGCTGGTCCGGTTGCTAATCAGGAACTCCTCTATCCTGGGGTCTATTGTTTGCAAGTATTGACACATTTAATATATCCCAGAAGAAACCCGCTTGTGGTTTTCATCTCTCAGTGCGAAACAATAGAACACTTTTGTCGGCACAGATCAAAACCCCTACCATGCGGTTTCGCGCACAATGGGACCGTAAGTTACCAAGTCGTTATGGAAGGATTTTATCTTTAATCCGGTAAGTCTGCTATTGTTCTGCTCTGGACGTTCTCTGAAGGGCAATAAATTGATGCACCTGACCGACTTCAAAACTTCTGGTCAGACAGGACCATGTACCAAACGAGACTGGGCTGAAGACCAGACTGGCTTTGGACCGGACGAGGTACCGGGGGGCCCTTTTCATACCTGGGCTGAATGGTCACGGTCCCTAAGATTTGTTTGTCTCGGATTTTGCGTGTTCCGCATCCATTTGTAGGCCTATATCATGTAATTGGACAATATTTCATTAGCTGCGTTGTCCCGATTCTACTGCGATAGGTTAATAGAGCGTGTAAGTTGACCTCAAAAATGTGCGAGATTCTATGAGAGTAAAGCTCATCGGGGCACCATGAAAAGGATCTACAACGTTATCGTCTTAGTTCTTTCTGCATTTATTTTGTGTCCTGACTCGGCCCATCCAGTCAAGGGCAAATAATTGGTACTTCAAAAGAAATGATAGCATTTCAAAATAAATGAAAACCACTAAGAGGACTTGTGATCGACAAGTAATAGAGTAATAGACCATTATCATGTTGCGGCCATCTCAATTTTTTTCCCATTCAAATCAACATAACCAAAGCGAGGCTGGAAGAAAAAATAGTCTGGTTCCTTTTTGCACAAAAACTATATCATTCAGTACTGTTATTGGATACAGGGAACATGACTGAAATGGTGGCAGCATGAAAAAGGTCTATAGAGATATGCAAACTTGACTGCAACGCTGCACAGGAGACCACAAACTTTAAAAATGACGTCCCGATGTTACTGCCATGAACACTAAAAACTCACTTTTGTGTTCAATATTTCCCATCTCATACTCATGAGAAGCACACGACGTCTGTGTACTCACCTTGTATTGTGCTTTGGACAACCACTGTCACTAAGGCACGGATAAATAACCTCTGTCTCTCCGAGCTGGAACCAATCTGAAGGTTCTTCTGCAAAGAGGAAAATGAAGAAACAATTGGAGCAAATCAAGATAAAAGTGTGTCACCAAGCAAAGAGGTAACTGTTCGCTTTAACGCAAACAACAAATGGGGACAGAATTGGGAAAGCGACAGATTCAATGAGTACGGATAGAGTCAGGCCAGGGAACAACTTGCTTCTTGAAGAACTACCGGTAAGTCCGTCTCTAGCGAGGATGGTTGGTCTTGACTAGTTCGTTTGACTTAGCATGAAATAATTAAGAATATCTCAATCCCCCCCCCCATTGATGGGATGCTAGTCCATCACAGGTTAGTCTTAAGGATGTTACTTTGGGTTTAATTTTTTTAACGATTCTTCCTTGCAAGTGCAGCCTTCATATGGTTGAAGATAAATGCACTGCCAGGAAACACTGGGGCGAACTCCTTCTTAAGCGTGATAAGTGTTACTGGGTTCTTTTACGTGCATCACCCAACACACGGGACCTACGGCTTTACGTTCCATCCGAAGGACGAAGCAATAATGGTTAAGTGTCTAGACTGGGACTCGAACCCACACTCTCCTGATCAGAAACACCAGAACTTGAGTCTGGTGTTCTTAACCGCTCGGCCATGACACTCCACATTTTAAGAGCCGTTTAAACGTTTAGCCATTTCACAAAGGCTGACGCTTTATGTCTGCAGACCGGCGTGATTGACATGATAAATCAACAATGATTGACATAATAAATAGCGAGCAGTCACTGAAAAAGTAAAAACTTCACTACGTGTACCTCAAATGTAATCAAGGACTGCGGAGCTTCTAAGGTTTTGTAAATTAAATAGGTTTGCAAACGTTAGTTATTTGTGCTATGTATGTTTAACTCAAAGAAGATTGCGTGAACGAAGGTCCCTTTTTAATAATTCGGATTTTGTTTAAACGTTTTGGAAAAGTTGTAAACAAATTAAGATTGTTTTTGTTTAAACGTTTATCGTGTAAACATCACATCCTAAGTTAGTCCCCAGCTAATGCCGGCACCTATTTATAGTCCTGGGTGAGACGAGGCAAGTAGGTGTAAAATGTCTTGCCCAAGGACACAGCATATGGTCAGAGGGTGGATTCCAACCCCTAAAGATACAACCATGGAGTCCATTAAAGAAAGTGTGATGAAGCTGTTCTTCCCCAATGGAAAGTCAAAACTAGGAAATCTGGATGACTTTGAAATATCTCTGAGAGATAGCACGGATGAGATCCTGAACCCATCAAAAACACAGATTAAACATATTATTATTATTATTTTTTATTATTATTAATCATTTCTGGTAATGAAACCAAGGATTCCTCAAAAGCGCCCTAAGTACTGTAGCTCGCAAGCCTGAAGAAACCTGTGGAGAGAAGACAATGAGAAGAAGTTACAGTTTTAGAGGTGGGAGGAAAAGCCCAGAAGAATATTCTGGGGAAAACCCACGGAAATCAGGCAGGGACGGAAAACCCAATCCACATATTGGCCCGGGCGGGATTCAAACCCGGGTCACAGCGGTGGAAGGCAAGGAAAGTACCGCTACGCCAACCTGACTCCCCGATAATGATGATGTTAAACTGAAAATGTTGAGACATATTCACGAAGGGGAAACCTTCATGCGAGGTACAGAAACAACCTACAGCTCAATCGGAGGATCCAAGCAAATCTAAAAGCCCCCTGAAAGTAGGGAGTTCTCAAGATGACAACCAGGAAGAATCTGACATCGCTGGGCCTTCAACAGCTCAGGAATCTTCGTTGAACATCCTGGACGCTCCCGTATATTTCTCTTCAGACGATGAATCGCTAGTCACACAGCTAAAATCACTGGGTCACCCTGCCCTGACCTAATGATCACAAATTTCATTTATGTCAGCAACTGATGAAACAAACTGCAGCTGAGTTATTCTCACCTGGATCCAGTCAAAGACGTTGTTGTTGACGTTCTCCCCGCTGGCCAGAATGCAGCCCAGCTCCCGCTTCATTAGCGAATCCATCTCCTCGTCCGTCATGACGTTATTGGCGTTGGCGTCCCCGCCGCTATTTGTCGTGCTGCTACTGGCAGCTGTTAACGTGAAGTCTAATTCCTGAAAAGAGCGAGATGGAAAGACGTCATTTTTGTTTAGGTGTATTTAAAAGGCGTAAGATCATTTGCATTTATCCCCAAAGTAAAAAATTAATATCAAAAACCTTGCTTGGATTAACCCTAACTCCTCAAGGTGATTTGCTAGGAACCTTCCTCATCCTTGCAAATCCCAACGCCATATGGACTCTGTTTATTGTGGTATGCCTAATCCCACGTAAAGCACAGTCAGTTTACTAGTCCAGTACTCATCCTAACAGATTCCAACAAACCCTGGTCCATAAAGTTTAACCCTAACAACCCCAAATCCATCAAAATCCATCCCCCATTTTGGTGGATTTTGGGGGACTTGGTCCAGAAGGCCTGGCGTGACTCAATACTGACTTGGGCCTAATGGCCTGAAGCAGTGCTAGGGGTATCCGATTGATTTTGCCTAGCTTCCTTCACTGCTATTGCATACCTGCCAACATTGAAAAGTCAGAAAGAGGAACAGGGTGCCTACGCATCACACACGGTGAGCGGCGCAGGCGCTCGCGCTAATGAGTGGGGTCCAGGGGCAATCATACAAAAATTGATGTTTACAGGGCCTCTACTGATGTATAGAATGTTGACTGGTGAATAGAAATATTGGAAGGATGAAAATCACATCAACAGAAATTACAAAATATATCATACTTGAAGTGGCAGCATTTTCATAATTAATACCCATTACTGGTCTCCTGTGGAAATGGTAGATGGTTGGCAACCATGGTGTTTTGATGTGTCTGTTGAGGTCATTTAGTCCTCCACTTGAAATCTTTATGTTCGATCGACAAACCGTGCATAAAGCGTATGAATGATTCTTCTCTTCGTGAAGCTTTTATGAAGTGAAATTTTTCACGATATTCCTCTCGGAATTTTTGACTCCTTCGCTGCTTTTTCTCCTTCAGTGTATCATCCTCCTGGTCCATGTTGCAGTTGAGATGCTCATACAAAAACGTTGACAAAAAAGTGTGACTCAGCACGGTCAAAATATCAACGAAAAACCACCGAAGACTATGAAGAAACAACGTGTGTGGAAAACAAACATGGCATCAATACATCCACCGCGCCGTGCCTGGCCCGCGCTTAATTCAGTAAGCACGCAAGAGAGGCAGTACACCAGACGGATGACATAGCGGGTCTCAGTTCACGTCCAAATTATTGGCTGCGGCTAGGTTGTGGCCGATCGCACAAGCCTGCTGTGCGCGCGTACGGCCGCAGCGGCAGCCTATTGGGACATGGCCTGTTCGATGACGTTTGAGTCTGGTTTACGTCCCTTTCGTCGTACATAAGAGCGAGGCGGATTTTATACCATTATGGTAGCTAGTGCCCTCAATACAATAAAACATTTTTCTCGGACAAGTGTGCGACGGGGCCGGGGCATTTTTTAATATTTAAAAAAATTTTTTTTGTATTAGTTCTTCTCTCGCAACTCGGAAAATCGGGACGTTCCGATTTTCGGGCACTTTTTATCTCCTTACCTTTTTATTTACAAATTCTTTTACATCGCCTCCGACGGGTAGAAACATGTCCCACGTGAAGCCTGACGACTGCCACATCTCACCTACAACATTAGCACCCTGAATAAAAATACCACAAGTACATGAACAAACTCAGTGTGTTGTAAGTATGAGAATATGTTAAAGCTGGAGTCCATCATTTGCAGCTATCCAAAAAGTAACTGGCATAATTCTTGTTGAAAAAATACTTGGTTGAGAGATAGTAAGGGGACTAAACTCCCTGTGAAATTACTCTTTCTGGAAAGCTGTCATTTTGAAGAAATCAACAAAAGAAGGCCTTTCCAACGGTGCTTCTTAAATTAGTAGTTCGTTTTGTTTTGCGGCGAAGTGCACGCAAGCATTGGCACAACGCACACTCGCGTGCGGTTGCTATAAATCGTCGGATCAGTGCGCGACATTGCGTAAGCTGCAATCGGCTCAGCAATTTCCGTCAGATCGACAAAAACTAAAATGTAAGGACTGGGACATTTCTAGGACCAAAATCCCATTCGGACCAAATTGCCCCAGGTTTTTCTGGTCAGATCCTATTTTAAAAGACTTTTTGATTCCCAGGACATATCTTTAAGCTCATGGGCTTTTCAAAACGAACCCAAAGATTTTAAACAGCACCTTATTACCTCTGCCAAGGAGGTTATGTTTTCATCGGCGTGAGTTTGTTATTTTTCATGAATTTTTTTTTAAAGGGTGGTCTTTGGTACAAGTACAAATCGTTTAGATTTTGGAATGGATCCGGATCTGGGTCTGGATCCCGGATGTTTTTGAGCACTGAGAACAGATTGCCACTCTGTGTACGTGTGTGGGTAACGCAGCGTGCGGTCCATGAGCGCACAGCACACAGCGCACACACCATCGAAACCAACAGGTCAATGGACTCAACCATTTGATTATGGGGGAGTGGGGAATGTGCAATAAAATGTAGTGGTCCAGTGGATAGGCGAGTATTTCTATTGGTTGTACTGACTATATGGTGGGGAATTGTTCAACCTTGGCGGAGGTTTGCGCTCTCTGAGTGCTACCTAGTTTGCAGCAGTGTCCAGAAGATGGACAAAATTTAAAGGGCTTTCCATGCGTGGTCCGAAATTGACAACGTTATGGTCTGATGGTTAGGAAACTTAATGTCCGAAATTATAATTAATAATAATTTGGAAGGCTAATCATCCTTACACACAGCTGGTATGCTTAATTGCGAAGGACGTGGCTACAACGTGGTCGGGCCGCTGGCACGTAAAGGCGCCTATGGCTGCCGGCCACATCGACCCATTATATGACCATGGAGCACAGCCTGAGAATGCAAGTGTTTGATTTTTCCGGAGGGAGGAAAACCGGGGGGCCCGGAGAAAAACCCTCGTGGCACAGGAGAGAACCAAGGCACAACTCTACTTATATGTGATCCGCGGCCAGGATTCGAACCATGGTCACCTTGGTGAGAGGCGAGCGCTTCACGCACAAGCCACCCATTCCACCCTATGAAAAATTCAAAATCCTCCACAATCCCGTAGGTAACTTTGGCCCTACTCACATTTAACTTGACGGCTGTTCGTAGAATCTCAGCCATGAGGTCCCCAGCCTTGTCCACGGCCCGGACCGGTTCCATCATGTCCGCTAGCAGCTTCAACGACAGCGAGTTGTCCCGGAATGTGGCGCCAATAATCTCCCCCAGGTACATCCAGATTCGAGGGACGTCCAGCGCCATATCATCCGCATACATCAATACCTCGTTGACACTATTGGGGAAAAATAGACAACAATTGTTGTTTTGATAGTTTTCCCTGAATTTTATTTACACATGACATTTGCATACGCAATTTTGTCGTGCGATAATGTCGCGCGCACAAATTAATGAGCGCCTTTACATTTTTGCGACTTATCGCTCAATTTTTTTCAATTCAAATTTGTTTACACATGTACATGCACCTGTGCGGGACACTGCTGCGCGACGTAGTCACTGCAATCACGTATGTGTAAATAGGCCTTGTAAACAGTTGAATGGGATGGCACCCGACTATTTATGCATTCCAAGCCTCACTTTGAAGTTATTTTTTAAATGTGGCTTAAAACATTAGGGTATGTTCAATCAAACTTGGTTGAATTATTCATCAGAGCACACTGGTATTAATGTGTAATTAACATTATTTCATTACTTTCATTTCTATTAGTAAAATCAAAAAAATGAAGATTTTTCCTTGCTTTCAATTCAATATGGCCGACTCGTGAATAAGGCCCATGTACTCAAGCGTGAGGGCCACCGGAGTATTGGTTTCTTATTGTGATCATAGAGGTCTATACAACTTTAGAATATGCAAGATTTTTCATACTGAAAGATTCAATTTGTCTCTGAACTCACCCATCCTTAAATTTTTCTTTGGTGAGGTGGCCTGCTTTCAGCAGCTTGTGGAACAGCATGCCCACCGAGTCCCTGGCCTGCGGGCTCTTCTCTAGCGTGCAGTTCATGGCCGCACGGACAAAGACGTGCATCAGGCTGGGCGACTTCATCTCATTCAGGCACAAGATGACTTCCTGTCGACCAGAAAAATAAAACAACACAAACCACATCAATGAAAATTTAACAAAAATTTGTAATGCTTATATAGTGCTCTCCATCGTATCAACCATCTCAAAGCGCTTTTACAATTATTCCCTATCAGACCAAGAGACCACACAGCAGCCGATATCAGCACACATTTCGGTCCTCTACCCTCACAGGTTACCCATTCATACCCCTGGGTGGAGAGAGGCAATTGAAGTTAAGTGTCTTGCCCAAGGGCACATACACCATGTTCAGAGCAGGGTTTGAACCCATGCAACATCGTGCATGCGTCAAACACCGTAACCACTCATGGAAGTCTCCACATAACACCACACTATCAAAAGGACAGAAATCTGAAAGTCATGATCATATTTTGTTTGCGTGTTAGACCTTTACCTCAATGTCCTTGATGCTGAGGTACTCCTCGATCGTCGCCAAGGCCTTCTTCTCAAACACGTCTTCGCTGAGTTCGGGGTCGGGAGACACTGACTTGACTGGCTCCTTGATGGGGGCCGGGGCAGGCTCGGGCTTCCCTGAAATGGTCAACAATCAAGTTTTACAATGCCATATCTTTGATCTATGATGACATTCGACAAGCAGTGCACACCAGGCCAGGGACCACTTTTGGAGCAAATTTCTTGGAGGAGCCTAGCCAGGCATGCAACTTGGAAAGTAACAATAAAGAGGAAACTCCAATGTTTACAAGACTTGTACAGTGTTTTTCAATGTTTAATGGCATAAGTGTGAAGTGAAAAACGAGGAAATTGGCTGATACGAGGAAAAGTTGCATGCCTACAAGCAAACTGGCTTACGCACATGTTGTCATGGTACCAGTGGGTAACCGTGCTAAGCAAATTGGCATGTGCAGAGCGGCAGAAACAATTACAGTGTATATTGAAAATTGTTCTCTTCATGCATCGGGCTATCGGTACTAATCACCTTTTCAAAACGGCCAAGCTCCTGGGCGTTAAAGAATATATTAGAGTAAAGTGTCTTGCACAGGGACACAATACCAAGTATCACTTATTCTGAGTCCAAACCACTAGACGATAACTTAAAGCTGTGACTTGACTTTACTCTCATAATAAAAAAAAGTTGCTTGTGGGGGTGGGGTGGGATGGGGTGGGGTAAGGGGAGGTGTTGGGGTGGGTTGGGGTGGGGTGGGGTTGAGGGGGTGGGTGTAGAGAGTGCTCCTCACCTCTCCTGAAGTCAGCCTCTCTGTCCTTCTCTCTGGAGTTAGACCGGCGGGCTCCCGTGATCCTCTGCACCTCAGCGAGGGCCGACTGCCTCTCTCGGTTGTTCTGGTCTCGCTCTCTGGACGAGCTGGACCGCTTACCGCCCAGGCTTTGGGGGCCGCGACCTCTGGCCTCGGCCGCCGTTGGCCCTCTGTCAAACAACCGAAAGATTGTCATCAATTTCGTGCGTCTATGAACAATCTTGTCAACAACGACCTTTGTTCTAAACCTTAGGGAACCCTACAGTCCATCCTTTGTAGTAAACACTTTTGTTCCAGGCCTTCATGAGTTTTCTAAAATCAACCGCAATACACAAAACATTATGGCCCACTAAAAGGCGAAGATCTCTTGTAAACAGCGGCTAGCCTTGACCTCTTCCAACCCTACAAATTCAAACCCAAACCCTCTAGGTGGGTTTGCACGACTGGAGAGAGGCTAGTATTTATGACAAGTGGTCCATTTTTGTCTACAAAACTTCAACGTACGGGGCTAAAGGTCTACGGTCATACAGAATTTAGGACTGGTTAGTGTCTCCCAAAATTTCATTTAGGCGACACAAAAATGTAGCAAGCCAGTTTGGAATCTGCGATGCCTACAGAGTATCAAGCATCCAGGAGTAATAACTGGGCAGGGTTTACTCTCCCTTCGCATTCACTGAAGTAGCAGTCATCGGCAAACTAGGGCCTACTGCCTCTCCGACACGTACGAAGGTTTCTTAAGGGACCGTGACCATTCAGCCCCGGTATGAAAAGGGCCCGGTATGAAAAGGGCCCCCGGTATGAAAAGGGCCCCCGGTATGAAAAGGGCCCCCGGTATGAAAAGGGCCCCCGGTATGAAAAGGGCCCCCGGTATGAAAAGGGCCCCCGGTATGAAAAGGGCCCCCGGTATGAAAAGGGCCCCCGGTATGAAAAGGGCCCCCGGTATGAAAAGGGCCCCCGGTATGAAAAGGGCCCCCGGTATGAAAAGGGCCCCCGGTATGAAAAGGGCCCCCGGTATGAAAAGGGCCCCCGGTATGAAAAGGGCCCCCGGTATGAAAAGGGCCCCCGGTATGAAAAGGGCCCCCGGTATGAAAAGGGCCCCCGGTATGAAAAGGGCCCCCGGTAAGCTCATCCCCTCCCAAGAAGTCCGGTTGCTAATCAGGAACTCCTCTATCCTGGGGTCTATTGTTTGCAAGTATTGACACATGTAATATATCCCAGAAGAAACCTGCTTGTGGTTTTCATCTCTCAGCGCGAAACAATAGAACACTTTCATCGGCACAGAACAAACCCCTTGCCATGCTGTTTCGCACACAATGGGACCGTAAATTACCAAGGCGTTTGGAAGGATTTTATCTTTAATCCGGTAAGTCTGCTATTGTTCTGCTCTGGACGTTCTCTGAAGGGCAATAAATTGATGCGCCTGACTGAATTCAAAACTTCTGGTCAGACAGGACCATGTACTGGACGAGACTGGGCTGAAGACCGGACTGGCTCTGGACCGGACGAGGTACCGGGGGGCCCTTTTCATACCAGGGCTGAATGGTCACGGTCCCTAACCAAAACTGGTGATTTTGTTTTTTAGGAATGTCATACCACATTGTAATGTTTGATACTGGGGTCACTTTGCATCATGATACTTTTCATTAAATTATTGGTAAAGTCTACATGCATGTAACATAAGCTGATTTACCCGATCATGATTGGGAAGGGCATATATGTGATGCGATCAAGCTAAATAAGTCGTTTGTCGGGAATTTTTATGTGGAGATTCAGGCCAAAATAGGGCCACTTCATCACATCTCTTGGTGTTCCGACTTCCATAATTTTTGAACTAAAGATGGTAGCAGCATGTAGTTTTCACAGCAGTAAATGCCGAGATTGTGCTCTTTTGAAATCTGTAATAAAAGATTTTTTGACCAGTGTCGACAAACGACTCATGTAGCTTGATCGCATCACATATGTGTTGAAGTTTAAAACGTGGGGAGTAATGTCAAGATACGTTTGTTAACCAATGTCGCAATTCTGTCAAACTGTCATAGTTGCTTATTTTGTATAAAACTTTTAATTGTTTAAAGATTTTTTTTTTTTTTTTTAAATGCAATCCTTGCAATTACACCTTTGTGTCCCATTTAACTGTATGTTCAATTTCTGTTTTGCCATTATCAAGGGTATTTTGGTGCCTTTTTAAAAAGTTTTTATGCTGATAAAAATTTTAGCAAAACTGTGATGTCATTCAAGGCAGAAACCTAAATGTTTCAGCTATTTCAGCGCACAAAGCATTTTGGTCATTTTCCTGCTGTAAAATTTCTTTTCTTTGGTAATTCCTTGTTGTGTCAGTACATGGCAGTAAGCCAATGAGCAAATCTTTCTCACGTACAGCGTGTGTCAATAAAAACGCAGGATTAGAAACAAAAATATTAAGAATATAAACCACCCCTATTCATCATAATGTTAACCCTCTTTTCAAAGTACCTTTCCTTCTCTTCACTATGCTTTTTATCCCATCTCATTTGGACAATCCTGTCCAGAGATAGAGTACATTGAAGAAGGGTTATAAATTCCAAGCTGGTCTGATTTGTGAAATCACACATACCTAATGAAAGGTTTGAATTCAGTACAGGTGAAAGTATTTGTGGATCACAAAGAAGGACATGTGTGGCAGGATTAGGCTTACATAATCCTTTAGTCCACAATCAATGTTATTAGTCAATAATTGCCCAAGTGACCCCAACAATGATAGTCCAGTTATTAAATTTAAGTGATACTTATCATCAGTTGTTTCAAAGAAAGTTTTGTTCTGGTTTAATTGTCTTCAATGCATTCCTGCATTGTACATAACTGGTCGTTGTGTTAAGGTCATTGAATCAGATCAACTCGCTTCAGAAGGGCTTCACAAAACTTGTCATAACTTTTGAACCAAAAGCCCAAATTCCACCAAACAAAAATCTTGTCAAAGATGAAATTATGGACAATCAAATCCTTATCAAATTAGGCACACCAGTAGCATAATTTTCTCAGAAAAAAAATCGCTTTGAATCCTGCGTTTTTATTGACACACGCTGTATAGCAAATTTTGTGGGTTCGCAATTTGAACAGGAAACCCCTAAACTGAACAGTGTCTTCCTGAAATGAAATCACAGCAACAGCGCCCTCAGTTGTATGGATAAGCATGGACAATTTTAAATGTTTCAAGAAGTGCACTTTCCAATAAAATTAACCAACAAGGGATGTCAAAGAGCTTTTATACATTTAAGAAAAGTAGAAAGTTGCACAAAATGTGTTCCTCAGAAGTATTCATCGCGTGGATACTTTAACTTTGTTCGAGTTGACGTTTTGTTCAAAATATGCTAATGCCTGAAACAGGCCATCTTTAGGTCACTAGTGTCAAGTAAAACTAGTTTTAGTATTAAGATGCTGTACCTGCCACCATTCTCCTACAGACCATTATCATGTTGTGGCCATCTTGATTTTTTCCCCATTCATATCAATGTAACCAAAGCGAGGCTGGAAGGAAAGATAGTCTGGTTCCTTTTTTGCACAAAAAACATTATCATTCAGTACTGTTATTGGATACAGGGAACTTGACTGAAATGGTGGCAGCATGATAAAGGTCTACTGTGATTATCATTGATGCGGTTATCGTTACATCGGTTTAATATGGTTCAGCGCAACTCTTTAAGACCGATCGAATTGAATACTAGACTTGCCGCCTACCTTGCCCGTCTGTCTTCAGCCAGCATCGTGAAGCGATTGCTCTGCCTGGGCTCCTGAGGTTCCTGGCTCTGCTGTTGCCCCTTGGCGGTACCCCCGCTACTGCCTCGGCTCCAGCCGCCGAACTGCTGACGGCCAGGACCCAGCTGGATGTCATCGTCTATGCTCTGCTGCTGAGAAAACCACCAGGATTACTCCAATCATTCTACAAGTTCTGACATGTGGACTATTTGGGTGTTTGAATTCACCGTCTTTGTTTTGCTATCCAAAAAGTAACTGACCAAATTATTGTTAAAAAACTTACTTGATTCGCGGATCAACTACACAAGGATAAAGGACTTCCCCAAATTTCTGGTTAGAGGAGTGATATGGCACTTGTGCGTCATGCGCGAGACTCGGCGAGCGACTGCAGTCTTTCAGTGGTCAAATTTCTGTCAGGACTCCAGGTGTCCGCGAACATGGCGTGCTACATGCTCTATACGTTGTTCTATACGCTGTTCTATGTGCGGACGCGGCATATCACGCATGTAGACAAACCGTTCCGTACATTTTGTACACAAGCTCAGATGAGTCGTTTATCCTTGTGTAGAGGATCCGTGCTTGGTTTGAAGTTAGTAATGGCACTTAACTCCCTGTGAAATTATTCCTTCTGGCATGCTGTCATTTTTTAAGAAAACAATAAAAGAAGGTCACTTCCAAAGGTTAAAGTCAAGTGACGCATTTTTGGAAATGACACTCAAGGAACTCGGGGGCTGAAGAAGGCATTCCACTTGCATCTTCCTTACCTTGGTCACCCTGAACTTGGTGGGGTCCACCGACACCCTCGCCGCCTTGGTAGAGGCCACCGTGTTCCAGCCCTCGGGCTGGGGAGGACCTACCCGCTGGGGCTGATCCCGCTTGTTGCGGGACATGCGCGGAGGCGGGGCGGCGGCGGCGGCCTGGATCTGGGCAAAGCCTTCCATTTTCTTCTGCTCCTCCTCCCGCTTGAAGTCCTGCCGGATCTGCTCGATGGTCTTGGGGTTGTCGTTGGCCCGCCGGGGTATCCAGTGCCGCTGCGAAAGGAGAGGAAGAATAAATTCAAATGAAATCCAAATTTAATGGCATTGAAAGATCATCTTTGGGGGATCTCGGTTTTTGTTGGATCTATGACGGGTCGGCCTATTGTTATCATCCAGACCATGTCACTGACTGACTGACCATAGAGCAAGGACCCAAAGAGTTCGTACTCCAAGACTTCAAAAGTAAAATGATGGTCGCCGCGCTCGAAAGCTACAATAGAAAGCACCTGGCGCCAGCTTGCTCAGTTGCTCACTACGCTAATCTCGACACAATAGAGATCCGCGCTCACTAATGCCCAAAAAAGGAGTTTGCATGGCTTCGTAGACAGTACCATGGTAAATACGCATGCGCAGTTGTCATACATCGCTAAAAATGAATGATTTTGAAGTGTTTGTTTGCAGTTGGATGATACTGTATATAAATGTGGTCAACATCACTGGAACAATCATTTCATGAAGAACAAAATGCTCTGTACCTTTAGTGTGAAAACTTGTGACATTTTCCAAAAAAAACCCACATTTCATCAATGATATATTGCCAATTAAAATGTTTGAAAATACATGAAAACTTATCTGAAAGAAATCCAATTTATCTCCAAATTACAGGGACAGATAACGCTTTTAAGCACCAACAACTGCACATTGCTAACTTGAGTTCATAACTCACATCTAACAACTGCGCAGTTGTAAAAACCTATCTTGTCGTAAAATATATTTTTCAAAAAAGAGCAGCGACGTGACATGACTTATTATGCAGCATATAGGGAGGTTGTTGGTTACCAACTAAAAAGGCGGCGACGATCATCGTGTTCAAAGGCCGCTGGCATTCACGCTTTGAATGGTCGAGGATTGCGGTCACAGTGCTGTAGCTATAGACATTCCCGAGGGATTGGTATGTTAACCCTTACTCTCTGAGGGTAGTTTACTGCATGTCAGTTGGTTATGCCAATGCCCTCCAGCTGCAGTTTATCAGAGGATACTTTGATGTAGCAGTGAAGGCTCCAATTGGCAGGAGTTGGAGGCCCTGGAGGGTGCCTGATACTGACCAGCTGGGGGCACTTGATTGTTATCAGAGGACTCTCATTGTTCTCTGTGGCATGTATTGGAATGCCTGTCCAGTTACCCTTGAAATGATATGGCAGATATTGGAGGGCCATGCAAAAAACATAGGAGATTTTCTTGAGGCACAATTGGCATGCGTTGGAGGGTCTAGTAGGGTAAGGGTTAATGGTCAAAATGTAAATCGCCCAAGAGTTCTGACTCCTTGTGTCCTTGCTCTATGGACTGACTGACTGCCTTAGTAAGTCACTGAGAGTAGTCCTAAACTCATGCTTTGGGGCCAAGCTTGACTAGTAAAGCCTAATTTCTTTGAAGTGGTGCCCCATCTCATCCAAGTGGGTACAATTTTACTGTCTTAGGCAAATATCCCCGAGACTGACATGCCAGATTCCCAGCACGTTATGAAGACAAACTTCCCAGAGTTTCTCCTTGATATTTCCCCCCCCCCCAAGACATTTCCAAAATTCTGTGAGAAATATTTTCACTTTAACGAGGTTGCTGGAACATCAAGAGGTGGTGTAGCATTATACAAATAACGAATGTTTGTGAGTGCGATGGTAAGAATAATTTCATGAGGTGACAGATTGAATGTTCTATTCCACGAGGCGAAGCCGAGTGGAATAGAACATTCAATCTGTCACCGAATGAAATTATTCTTTCCATCGCACGAAAGTAAAACATTCGTTATTTGTTTTATACAACACCTGAATAAATTCTCGTCATTTGATTGGTAAATTATAAACTACAATTTATTTTGATTTTAAAGATGTTGAACTACCCCTTCACGAAAATGTTTGAACCCAACGCTGTAGCGCTGGCTCTTTGGAACAATACGCGCTACACTGAACGCGCACACCAGCATGCATTTTGCACGCAAATACCGCGTCATGGAACAAGCGCAAAGTGAAACGGTATAACGCATGGGTATAACGCATGGTCGCACCGTGCATTAAACCGAATAATAACATGTCACGTGATCTACAATTCACCAATCAGATGACGGGGATTTATTCAGGCGTTGTATAAAGCCAATTGTTATTGTCTGGAGAGGTGTGTAATATTCACACTGCAGAGACACTACAAAGCCACCATAGCCAGTCAGTTTAGGGACACATGGCACAAGACGCACATACGCCAAACTGGTGAAAACCTGTCCCTTACTGGGTCACCGTTAAATTCCCTGAGTTTTTCCCAATTTCTTTTGCATAGCTGCCAACTTTTCAAAATCCCAATTAGTAATCAACCCGCGCGGTCATTTTCAACTGCTCGTTTTATCAAAAGCTTTACCAACATCGAGTACAGATACATGGTTTACATGTACACATACATGTGCATACCCTTCTTGTTGTGAATAATAATGTACTGGAGGCCAAAAGATAATTAAAAAAAATAATTAAAAAAAAAAAAAAAAAAATATATATATATTTTTTTTTAATTTATTTTGTTTCAATGTCTGTATTTGTTTGTTGAAGTCAAATAAATATTAACAATAATAACATGTGCGCATATTTTTTTGAGATGCATGTTATCGATGTGGAGTTTCGAGTTCGTATAAATGTTTACACACGTTGATTTAGGGCCACCGTATGCAATAGAAATATCCCGTCAACATACCTTGCAAACGCATGCTGATTTATCTTTTCTGGACGTTGTGACAAACTCAAACTCTATTACCAATTATTCCAACCATAATCCTATTAAATTCCATGATTAAAATCTCGCACTGATAGACTGATCCCAGCAAAAAGCGACCAAATGTGCTCACGATCGTCACTGAAAAGTACTCACAATTCACATACAGTACACACAACCACACATCCACGAGATGCAGCACACAAATGACACACCATTGACAAATAGTTTTAGTCTGGTCCTCAAGTACTCCACTGCGCACACTGCATTGATGTCTATCAGGTGCTTGACTGCATTCTTATTAGACTTGTCACCAGTCCATCCATTATCGCGACATTTCGCCAGAAGTTTTCGGTCAAAAACGATACTTTACAAGTATTTTTTTTTTTCGTTAGGTAGAAAATGGGAAATTCGTAATGTTTTAGTGGCATATCGTATTTTCGTAATTTAACAAACAATTCGTAATAATTACGAAAAATTCGTAACAGTTGGCAGCTATGCTTTTGTGTTTTCCCAAAATTCCCTGAGGTTTCCTTCACTAAAAAGATATATTGGAAACTCGTTTTCAAGGATTTGCCTGATTTCCAGAGTGGGCTGGAACCCTGACATGGTATTCTACAATAAACTACAATAAGTACAAGAGGCAGTAACTTATTCAGCAATGAAATCTTTACAAAACTTGCAGCAAGGCCCGAATGAAAAAAAAAAGCTTACAAAACGTTTGGGGTTACTCACCATTCTAAGGTCCGTAACGTCCTGAAGCATGAATCGGATTCTGGCCGACGTCTTCTTATTACTTATAAGGTTCCTGATCTGGTGGAAGTACTGGTCAATACGATTCTGAAGTTGTCCAAAACAAAGTGAAACAACATGCAGTTTAAAGTACAAGTCGGCAGCATTCAATTGTGTCTAAAATGTTCATATTGCCACTATACTATGCATCTCAACCCACAAGAACCCTGCTCCTTTCACAGGAACCCCATCTGAACCCATAAGAACCCAGTTCAACCCACTCGACACCCAGCGTTTAACACCCAGACACCCAGCTGCACCCACCTTGGCCTTCTCGTGGTCCAGGATCTTGCCGATGGTGCTCATCAGGTGGCTCATGCACTCCAGCGACTCGTCGTCCTTGGAGCACAGCAGCTTGAAGATGCAGTCGTGCATGATCTGCTCAATCAGCATCTGCAACTTGAAGAGCTCGCCGATGAAGCGGATGTTGCCCAGCATGCGCTGCTTGTTCTTGATCAGTTTCAGCGCCAGATCCTCCAGGGCGGAGGTGCGCTGGTCGGCCTGTTCATCAGAAAAACAAAACAGTGCTTATCAAGAGTTTGCTTCAAAGTGGCTACTATACTAGTACTCAAGAGTAGCTCCGGAAGCTTGTTACTCATTTCGTTAGGTCGGGTAACATTCTTGCTAAGCTCCTTCTCGACTCACCGGCAGTTTGGCAATCTTCTCTCTTTCCAGTTTCTCCTCTTGTTCATCGCTCTTCTCCTTCTCAAACTCCTTCTGGCATCGGTTGATCAGGAGCGTGCGGAACTGGACCATACCATTACCTGAGGCAGCTGGCACTTTTAACTAGTAATGACAAATAAAAACGTAGATATTTCAACCCCATATTCCCATGACACGTTTATTTTAGAAGTACATATGACCGATTATTTTGAAGTTGTGCCTTCAGGTAGACACATTCCCGCTTACCACACAATCGCATAAAGCGTTTTGTAATGATAATCATTAAAACTCCAGGCTTCCGCACGTAAATAAATGTGAATGAGTGTATTTTACTTTACACGGTCAATGGAAAACACGTAGCATTTCCAGTACCCTTGATGAAATTTTTACCATTTTTTGTGGACGCTTTGTCCAAATTCTATGAAATTGGCATGAAACGTCAATGAGAGATTATTCTAGAGCTTAATAAAGGCCTGGCACAAAAACGTAAGGCGATGACGTTGGAAATAATGTTCAGCCTTTCTTCCTTTTGAGTTGAATGATACCTTTTCACACTGAGTTTTCTTCCTCTTTTTAAACTCTTACCTGTGAAAGGTCTCGGCAGAGCTCGGCGTATGTTCTGCTGAACGATGATTCATTGATGGCCTAGAAATGCAAGAATGGAGACTGCATTAAGCAAAAAGGAATACGATACATGTGGGTTTTTTTTGGTAACACTATGAACCCCAAAGTTCCCAACCCCATTGTCTGGACAGTCTTGGACGGCATGGTTTGACCGCTGAGTTCAGATTTGGACATATCTAATACAAGGATCTAACATTTGGTTACCTTATGTCCTTGGGCAAGGCACTTTACCACAACCAATCTCTATTTTTCTCTCTCTCTCTGTGCACCGCAGAGCTATATTAAAGATATAGTCCATCATTTGCAGCCATCCGAAAAGTAACTGGCGTAATTATTGTTGAAAAACAAACTTGGTTGAAAGATAGTAAGGGGACTAAACTCCCTGTGAAATTATTCTTTCTGGGAAGCTGTCATTTTGAAGTAATCAACGAACGAAGGCATTTCCAACGGTGATTCTTAAGAAGCACCGTAGGAAAATTTAAATTAGTAGTTCGTTTTGTTATTCAGCACAGCGCGCACAAGTATTGGAACGACACACACGCGCGCGCGGTTGTTATAATTCATCGGATCAGTGCGCGACGTCGCGTATAGCTGCAATTCAAAACAATTCAAAACAATTCAAAACATGATTCAGTAACTTTAGATTTGAAATTGAGATCTTAGAATGCTGTTTTTCTCGGAATGTACAGCTGAAGCTTAGCTGAAACTTCATCAGGTTAGTTGCTCAGTATCCTTCATTAGATTTTGAACTCTTTTGTTGCTTCAAACGAACAAAATGCACAAATTACAAATGATGGACTGTAGCTTTAAATAACTAGAGCGCTAACTCCTCATTCTTGCGTGCGGAGATGCTTTGAAGCCGTCCTGGGCGCAGAAATTTCGATTTCATGTGCGTATTTGTATAAAACATAATGAAATTATGAAGTGGCATATAGACGTGATCATGTGACTTTTTAAAAATTGCGGTGCGTGTATTGGTAACAATAACGTGATCTTTCTGGGAAAATCTTGTTTTAGATACCTTTACTAGGCTGTAGAATAAATTGCAAGATACCCATTCGACAGTCACTGCATTCTCAGAGTACTCCTGCGGCATGCACGTGTTCTGCTATAAACACCCTTTCGCGACGGGACTCGGACCTGGCTCAGACTTGACAATTTGGACTTGGACTTGAGTCGGACTCGGGACAAAAATGGACTCGGAACTGGCTCGGATTCAAACCTTCCTGAACCCGGCTCGGACTTGGTTGAGATGGACTCCACTATACCACATCACTGTCCAAAAACCTCCCCCAACCCCGAAAGAGAATTCTGAAAATCGACCCTCACCTTCTGAAAGACCAAATCAATGACTCCTTTTAGTCTTTCCTCAGTGTCGATGGGATAGTCCATGGCTTTAGCCTTCAACTTCTGGAAGTTATTGGGGGTCAGCTTGTTCAGGAGGGCATTGATTTTCTTGAAGAGATCCTGTTGGGAAAAAAACAACAGAAAACGGTTCATCATTCAGGCATGCAACTGGGAAGTCACAAAAAAAGAGGAAATTCAAATTTTTCCAAGACTTTTTACAGTGTTTTTCTATTTTCAATGGCACACTTGGGAAGTACAAAAAGAGGAAATCAGCTGATCCGAGGAAAAGTTGCATGCTTGATCATTTGTCTGTGGTGGTGACAGTGTCAGACTTAATGATTAGTTAGTTATTCCACATCCCCTGCCCCCAAAAAAGATAACTGGAAAAAAATTACAACTAACTTTTCCGCGAATGTTGGAAGTAGACCTATTAATCTAATTTGTTTTTCTTCAAAAATTTAAACATGGAGCCAATCTCTGAGAAAAAAAGGAATTTAAAATCAACTGACGATGTCCATGTGACTCATTTCGGATTCTGCATTTTAGTACTGCAATCAAGGTACCCATTAAATTTCATGACGATCAGACTATCCCTTATAAAATGGGAATAAATGTGTGCTTCGGCGGTTTTAAACACTATGTTTAAAGGGAATATACATCATTTGCTTTTGCTGTAATTTTCAGAAATGGATGAAATTGGGGGGTTGGAAATATATAGCAAATATAGTTACACTGACTTTTTTGAGGTTTTGGGTTCGAAAATGCTATAAAAACCAAGAAAAACAATCATTTTCCTGTAGTCTGGTTCCCTGACTCCATATAAGAAGAAACAGAGCAGTTTACATACATTGGGGAATTGTAAGGTCAGGGAACCAGTCTAGCTGGCTTGTACCCGTTCATAGGTGTGTAATCGATTGCAAACAAGTGCGATGGTCAATTGGGGCCAGTATTTGAAAAAAAGCCAGTTTTTTTCCAACGCTGGTCGGCCGACCAGCGTTGATACAAAAATACCACTTTTCTTAAAAGTGACAGTAAACCAAGTGCCATGATTTTACAGGATGCTTTACACTGTCATTCACTAACAGTCCAGCAAGGTATTTCAAAATGATTTGGTAGTTTTATTTTTTGATGTTTGCAAATGTTGTATTTTCCCTTTAAGACCGGTTGGAGTCTGGATGCTGATAATTACCCGAGCCAAAGGCGAGGGTAATTATCAGCATCCAGACTCCAACCGGTCTTAAACAGAGTGATTAATACCACCAAGCACATATTATGTTTTCCCATTCATAAATACCTTTTCGGTCAAATAATCAAACTTCTTCAGTCCAAAAGTCAAAACAAGTCAAACATTATAAATTTTCAACGATTTCGTTCAACAATTTTACTTCATGTTTTTTGGGACACCCCTCTAGCTATATTATGGTGTGCCCAGTCTTGCGAGTGTCGTAATATCCTCCTTGTGTGGAGATTGGTGCGTGCACCGCACATACTGCGCAATGCGCGCACATCGCAGCTGTGCTGGGGTATTGTGAAGTTAGGACTATGAAATTCTGACTCACCGGTAGTAAGGATTGTGAACATTCAATGAATAAAATGGTAAAACGCATCGGATTTCATAGGAGTCTCGCATTTCATGCGACACTGGAAAAGTGTTTAAGACAAGCCTGCCGGTTATCGACCGTTTAAGACTGGCCAAGTGGCAGGTTCTCGACCAATAAGAATGGGTAAACTGTCTTAGGTATTTATGAATGTGTATTAAAAGATTTTTTCCTGATTTCCAGAGTGACTGGGAACCCTGACTTTGTGCTTCGTAAGGGTTCCTTCAGCTTGATGTGTACTTGGTTGCAACCGAGTTGCTCGTTAAAAATTGCTTTGCCCAACTTGGCACCCCTGAAAACCCCCAGAGTGCAAGGAACCCTGGGGGGATTAAAAACCACCATGTCTCACATCACAACAGCCAACTGTTGCTAAATGGCACTGACCTTGGTCTTAGCTTCCTCTTCATCTGAAGGCACGTCTTTGTCCCGCTTTGTCCAGGCATTCTCAGCCACGCTCAGCTTGATGGTCTGCGAGACTCTCTGGATGACCTTCTTGGGCTCCTTGGACGAACGGCGTCCGCCGGTGGGCATGCCGCCCTGGCCGAACTGTGGCTGGGACTGCGGCGAAGGGAAGGGCGTGCAAGGGAGTTACATATTAGGAGTAATCTCAATAATATCTAAACGATCCATGAAATGCAGTTCATAACCCAGCACATTTGTAGCAAATATCCATTCCTCTGAAATGTATGAAAACTACGAGACATCCCTTTTTTGGTCAACATTTTTGCTTAGTGCACTTTTTTATTTTATACATTTGCAATGTTCTTCCTGAAAACTGAGGGTGCTACTTGCTGTGATGTCACGTTAGGAACACACTCTTCAGATTAGTGTTTTTCTCTTCAAATTGTAAGCCAACATTTTTGCTTAGTGAAAACATTTGTGCATAAAGATTTTTCATTGTCTTACTGTCATATACTGAAACAACAAATGAACCACTGAAATCAGAAAAATAACCACAGGCGAACCCTTAACACTCTGGTGACTTTTTACGCTAAAGCAGATGTGAAACTGACATTTCTGCCTTGAATGACACCACAGTTTTGCTCATGAATATGGAAATTTGCATTAGCAGAAAAATAAAAATGACACCAAACGCCTTTAAAATGGCAATATGAAGATTACAAATAAAGTTATATGGAACACAAAGGTACATGTTAAGGATTTTGGGCCCTTTTAGAGTCATCTGAAAAATCAACGAAGAAATGTTGTGGTGAAATTTCCACTGATAAGCTGATTGCATCTGCATCAGCGATCTAGTTTTCCATTGCAAGAGAGCATGCTCAGTCAAACGCTGGCTGCTAAAGTTTCCAAACAAGATTCTCCAATTAATGGCGAGTTTCTATCAGACAAATGAACCCTATCAGGGAAATTTTCCCTGCAAGTTTTCCAAGATTATCAAGATGATTCTCTAGTGCAGGGTTCGACTTGAGCAGTAGCCCGCTAGTCAACACAGCAGCTGGCAAGTCAAACTTTTCCGTAAGTAGCCCGGCTTGCGAGTCAACAATTATTGGGCTACAGCAAAGATGAAAGGACAGGAAGAAATAAATCATGAAATTCAGAAAGCCATTGTGGCTAATTTTAACAACTGTTTAGGGTTAAATTATTAGAGCTGTTTATTAAAAACACCGACAAGATTGCCTCCAGATTCACATTTTTCATGTATGCAAATTGTTGTTTGTGAGGCACTCTATGGGCCTTATGCATGAGTTGGCCATTTGTGTCGAGTTCCCTGAATGTACTTCTTTAATCGTTAAATGTTGAATGGGATGGCGCCAGACTATTCATACAAGCATAATGCAGCCTTATTTTACTGTCATTTTAACCTTGCGCAGAGTGACCTGCTGCCCTTTGGGCCCCAGGTAACCGAATTTTTTGGAAAAAAAAAAAATTGAGGGCCAATGACGGTCACCTTCCATCTAATCCTCATTCGACCCTTGCCAAATAAGCTGGTTTAATGAACTTTGCAGCCAGGGCTACACCCAGGCCGTGTCAACAAACTTTTGACCAGACCTCCTGCCAAGTCTCATTGAAACATCAACAAAGACCTGTAACTTGACACAGTCATCTCCCTTCATAACTGCATACCACAGCCAATTATCTTTCCAGCGCACTGTCTGGCAACTGTCTGGACACTGTCTGGCACGTGGCTTTTTGTTGTACTGCTATGAATAGTTGACGAGTTGTTGCAAAGTTTTTTTGTAAACGCTGCGAGGGTAAACCTACTGTCAAACCCTGCCTTAGTGGGAAAGGATCAGGTACTTACCGGACCACCGCGGGGGGACTTGAGATACGCTGGGGTGAAGTCAGCCCCTCCTCTGCTGTTGATCTTGCCTGGGGGATCAAAACTGGGAGGCCTTATGTCAGCCTGTTGGAGGAGAGATAACACATTTTGTCTCGTAATGCTACCTACTATAGTACGCACGGCAACAAAGTACGTAAAAACTCTGAACACTGCAATAAGGGCCCGTGACCATTCAGCCCCGGTATGAAAAGGGCCCCCCGGTTAGCTCGTCCCCTCCCAAGAAGTCCTTTCGTACCTTCCCAGCTATCGGCCCAGGAGCTGGTCTGGTTGCTAATCAAGAACTCCTCCATCCAGGGGTCTATTGTTTGCAAGTATTGACACATGTAATATATCCCAGAAGAAACCTGCTTGTGGTTTTCATCTCTCAGCGCGAAACAATAGAACACTTTCATCGGCTCAGATCAAACCCCCTGCCATGCGGTTTCGCACACAATGGGACCGTAAATTACCAAGGCATTACGGAAGGATTTTATCTTTAATCCGGTAAGTCTGCTATTGTTCTGCTCTGGACGTTCTCTGAAGGGCAATAAATTAATGCGCCTGACTGACTTCAAAACTTCTGGTCAGACAGGACCATGTACCGGACGAGACTGGGCTGAAGACCGAACTGGCTTTGGACCGGACGGGGTGCCGGGGGGCCCTTTTCATACCAGGGCTGAATGGTCACGGTCCCTAAGCCATTTCGGTATTTCAATGACCCGAGGTCATTCGGGATAACATCGCTGAAATTATGTTACGTAATGTTCAAGCATGCCCATTCCGCTGGTAATTTACACCTAAGTGTTGTGCGCCCGAGTTCATGTGCCTTCGAAATGTTCGATTATCCCGACTGACCTGCGACCATATCGTTGTGCACATGCACAGTTGAAATACCGTACTGGCTTATTATGTGTGCGATATTTCATAAATCATATTTATTATGTTTTTTGCGAAATCTTGAGGTTGTCTGCCGTCTGGATGCTGCAAATATATATCAATATAACATGGTTTAAGGGTGGATAGTCAATATTAACTCCTCGAGCTATTCGACATGTTGGAAGTTGACAAACAAGTTCCTGCGGGACAGCCGAGGGAACTAGTATGTCAATTTCCAATACTGAGGGGAGCTAATATCGACTATCCACCCTCAAATCATGTTATATTTGTATATTGTGGCATCTAGACTGGAGAAAACCTCCGAAATAAACCAATTCGAAATGAGCCAAGTTACATTTGTTATACATGTACCTCAAACATATTCACCAAAATGTTGTTAAGCATGAGCGATATTGGCAGAATATTACTGGGTAACCAGTGCGCTATTCTACTTAGAATGCGAATTACCCTGTGCGTGAATCCTTGCCTGTGAGCTTGGTAAACAGCAATACTAGCAGCTGACACGCAATGGTGTGGGGACCAGTGGGAATTCGGCTCTCGATCATGAATATATATAAGGTATACTAAGGGCCCGTGACCATTCAGCCCCGGTATGAAAAGGGCCCCCCGGTAAGCTTGTACCCTCCCAAGAAGTCCTCTCGTACCGTCCCAGCTACCGGCCTAGGAGCTGGTCCGGTTGCTAATCAGGAACTCCTCTATCCTGGGGTCTATTGTTTGACAGTATTGACACATGTAATATATCCCCAAAAGAAACCCGCTTGTGGTTTTTTTATCTCTCAGCGCGAAACAATAGAACACTTTCGTCGGCACAGATCAAAACCCCTGCCATGCGGTTTCGCACACAATGGGACCGTAAATTACCAAGGCGTTATGGAAGGATTTTATCTTTAATCCGGTAAGTCTGCTATTGTTCTGCTCTGGATGTTCTCTGAAGGGCAATAAATTGATGCGCCTGACTGACTTCAAAACTTCTGGTCAGACAGGACCATGTACCGGACGAGACTGGGCTGAAGACCGGACTGGCTTTGGACTGGACGAGGTACCGGGGGGCCCTTTTCATACCAGGGCTGAATGGTCACGGTCCCTAAATCAATATAGATTGTTGGACACATAAGACAGTGAGGTTGGATCTTTATGTCTGCCTTCTGGCCGGATGTCGGTTCAATAAGATGGTGGGAAATTTTTCTCTTTGTTTTGGGTATACCTTGTCCAGCACAATGTCTGGAATGTGTGGAAGCCCTTCTGGTTTGTCTTTGCAGTCTTGCTGAAATTGCAGCAGAAAGTCCCGATTGTATTGCTTCTTGCCTTCCGGATTCATGGGGCTCCACTGGTCTGTGTTCGAAATTATACAAATGGAGAGTAAGGATTAACAAAAGAAATGCGAGTGCACAATAAGCTCTGGCCGTCTTGCATGAAACTCTTGCATGAAATTTAGATTTCAAAAATGCGACGCCCAGTGCCAAGAAACAACAGTAACGCTGACTGGAGATTGTGCGTACAAGCCCTGGCCGCCGTCCTATGCGAAAATCATGTTGCCCTAGTCTGTCCCCGAAAATTGACCAAAAGAAGCCCCCTTAAGTTTCACAGAAGATATAGCACGCTATATACCACGTGACAACAACATTACTGCACACATTACTGTAATTCAATGAGACATGGTGGCGACGTTATCCAGTACAACGTGGGCCTCAATAATGCATGGCTGAACATAAACAACACATGGCTGAACATAAACAACACATGGCACAGCCTACAACCTCGATACAATGCATCCTCCAAAATCAATTGACTCTTTCCTCAATCCTCCAAAATCCCCCAAAACTGCCTGGTTGACTTGGGAGAATTTGGGAGGGTAGGGGTTAATGAGAGAAGAATGCAAAATCAAACAAGGGGTCATTCAAGGTTTTACCCTGAGGTACCCCACAAAACTCTGTTAAACCTCATAAAGCCTTGTAAAAACCTCATAAAAACCTCGTAAAACTCGAGGTAAACCATGGGTTACCGCCTGTTTAATTTTGCAATCTTCCTTAAAGGCCTTTTCTTTTGCCTCACTTACCTTCCCTGTAAGTGTACTTGAGCTGGATTTTGTTGTCCTTGAGTGACTCCTTGGGCTCCGTGTCCTCGGCCTCTTCCTTGTTCTTGGCGTTCTCCGATTCCACCTTCTCTTGCTCCTGCGCGGTCTCGCCGTCCACCACCACCACCACCGCATTGTCCTGCTCCAACTTGCCTGCTGCTTCAGCCTCCGCCGCCTCCTCCATGCCTTTCTCCGGCTCCGGCTCAGGCTCCGTCTCCGGCTTCTCGGCGGCCTCCTGAGTTGTGCTGGGCTGGGTTTCGGGGGTGGGGCTCTCCACCTCTTTTGGCGCTGGCTCTGCCTCGCTTTCTTCTTTTTCCAGGGAGTTTTCCGCCTGTTTCTGTGGGGCGGAGTCAGGGGAAAATTCAGCATGCTCAATTTTGTTGCGACTGAATTAGGGTCAGCTTGAAAACGCCAGTCACCTCCTTTGAAGTAGGTGACCGAGGCTGGACAACTTTTAAAATTTGGTAGTATATTACAATGCTCTCGTACGTGACCTGTCATCACAAAGTGAGCTTAAAGTCAGACTTGCACTTTAATTGACCTGAATCCTGCAAAATCCTCCATTTTGCAAAGTGTATTTCGGAGGATTTGGGAAGGTCAGGGTTTAAGTATTTATATTCTGTGTTTGGGAAGTTCATGAAATTGGCTCCAGAACTCACCTCGGTGGAGCGGTAAGCCTCAAACTCATCCTCGTCTTTTGGGGCCTTCTTGTCGATATCCCTGAATCGATTCTTCTGACTTTTCTTTTTACTGGGTTCTTTTGTTGCTGCTTCGTGGACAAAATCCAAAGAAATAATTGAGACAGACAAACACACAAAAGCCATTAAAAAAAATTGTTGAAAAGTAAAAAGAATTTCCCATTACAAGTAGTAGAAGATACCTTTCAAGACACAAAATTCCATTGTACATACATGCACAAGACAATTGGAAAATATTGTCGCACATCCAGAACTCAGTATGGTTGAAACAGCTCATGTCAGTGACCATGTTTAATAAAAAAACATTACCAAGAAAGACAATCTAGATATATCCTTTTTTTCCCTACCTGCTTCTTTGCTCTCTTCTTCTTTTGTCAGTGCTGCACTTTCTTCTCCGGCAACTTCCTTCGCAGTCACCACCTCCTCTACCTTGGGCTCCTTGCCTGCCGAACTCTCCTCAGACTTTGTCTGGGAGGCAATAACAGGTGTCTCAGCTGGCTTTACTATCTCGGACTCATCCTTGGCAGCGGGTGCAGACGTCGTAGGCTGCTTGGCAGCCTCCTGAGGCAACTTAGCATCCGCCTGGGGAGCACCCTTTAGTGAGTCCCTGGGCTCTTTACTGAGTTCACCCCTTCGTGGGGGTATGACACTCGGTGGTGGCATCTCAGTTCTTGCGTCCACGGCATCTGTGGACGGAGGTGGTGCTGACTGTGCCTGCACAGGCGGTGCACTGCTGGTGGTGGTGGAGGTGAGAGTGGCGGTGGCAGCGACGGGATTCACACCTGCCTGTTGTTGGCTTGGTTCCTTGGAAGACACCTCAGCAGGAGGAGGGGCAGGGGAGGGAGAGACCTGTGTCGGGGGCTCCCTTGCTTTGGCTTCTGGAGCTGGCAGCGTGGCACTAACGGCCTGGCTGGCTGGGCTGGGCTCTGCTGTTGCCGCCGCTGACACCACCTGACTGGATGCAGTTGGTGCAACTCCTGGTTGTGGCTGGACATCCGTCCCGACCGCTGGTGGCTTCTGGGTGAGTCCAGGCAGTGGCTGCTGCTGTGGGGGGACCGCTGCTTGCTCTACTTCAGCCATTGGCGGAAACTGGGTTTCTGTTGGCGTCGAGGCAGGGCTGTCAAGGGCCAGGCGTGCTACCTGGGCAGCGAAGGTTGCCTGAATGGCCGCCTTCTTCTCATCTGCCTGGTAATTCTGTGGAGGTGTTTGAGACTGTTGGATTAAAACAGAGTGAAGGGGGACAGAAAAAAAAGCGATTCACATCACAGCGACAAACACAAGCAAAACTAAAAGGTGCAGACTACAAAAGGCGAACTAAAATCTACACAAGGACAATTTGAAAATGAAAAGACACTTATAAACAAAAAGTGTAAGTGCAAATGATTGTGCAGCAAAAGATTGAAAACAAGCTTTTTCTTTAAAGGGAAGATACAACATTTGCAAACATCACAAAACGAAATGATCGAATTATCACGAAATACCTTACTGGATTGTTAGGGAATGACAGTCTAAAACATTCTGTAAAATCGTGGCTCCTCGTGTGCTGTCATTTACAAGAAAAATGGGATTTTTCCAACGCTGGTCGGCTGACCAGCATTGGAGAAAACTGGCTTTTTTTCAAAAAGTGCTTCTAATTTTTCATAATTAGTTATTCCACGTTTTCTTTGCAATTGATTACACACCTGTGAAGGGGTACAAGCCTGCTAGACTGATTCTCTGACCTTACAATTCCGCAAAGGTTATACATTGCTCTGTTTCATCTTAAGTGGGGTCAGGGAACCAGACTACAAGAACATGATTGGTTTTCTTGGTTTTTCCAGCATCTACAAGCCCAAATCGTGAAACAAGTCATTTTAACAATATTTGCTATAACATACTAATCTTCAAATCCATTTATTTCTGAAACTTGCAGCAAAAGCAAATGTTGTACATTCCCTTTAATAGGGAATTTTGGCCAGAAACCCTGCTGAAAGCAACAACGTACAGTTGTCCAATTAAGAAGCCTGCTCAGTGTAACAAGACGCCAAGGCCAAACAGCTTCAGAGCCAACGGCTGCCAGCCAACATGGTATCCACCAGAGGCATTGTACATTGAGACTTGAATTGGAAGTTTAAAGGTATATACAACATTTGCTTTTCCAGTAATTTTTAGAAATGGATGGATTTAGGGATTAGTACTTTATAGCAAATATTGTTACACTGGCATATTTTGTGTTCATAAATGTTGGAAATACAAAGAAAAAAATGCTGTTCTTGTAGTGCGGTTCCCCGACCCTAACTTCAGACGAAACGGAACAATTCATAGACAGCAGGGAATTATCAGGTTAAGGGAACCAGACTAGCGGGCTTGCACCAGTTCACAGATGTGTAACCGATTTGCAAACAAAATATGGACCAACTCAATGTAGTAAATTGAGGGCAGTATTTTAAAAAGGTCATTTCTGTTCCCAATGATGGGTCGGCTGACCATCGTTGCAAATTGATACAAAAATTCCACTTTTCTTGAACATCAGAGCACACCAGGTGACACGATTTCACAGGATGCTTAAGACTATAATTCACCTACAGTCAAGCAAGGCATTTTGTAATAATTTAGTAGTTTTTCTTGTTGATATTTGCAAATGTTGTGTATTACCTTTAAGGCCAAAAAACAAATAGTCGGTCTCTGGTCAGACCGAAGTTCCGGAATTCATGCGACGACGCGGTTTTTTTGGTGGCTTTTTTTTTTTCAAGCTTGTATTGTACAGACAAGGTGGGTACTATGTTGCTTTTTTGTGTCCTCATTATACATTGGTGTCCTCCATCATTTGCCTTGGTGCCCTTTATCATTTGCCTTGGTGCAATTTCCCCATTCCTTGGTGCTCCTTGGTACAAAAATTTGAGGAGGCGCGGCACAAGAGGGCGCTGTTGTAGCTTCCGTGTTAATTTAAAAAAAAAAAAAAGGTTGACGCGCGCTGACCAGAGACCGAATAATTTTTTTTTGGCCTAAGCCGATTGTGTTATCTAACCAATGCTACAGACTTTTCTTGACCAACTAAATCTTGTTGCATCTGGCAGGGTGAGGGTTAATAAATAAAGGGCGGACCAACTCACAGCAGGAGGCGTATCTGAAGCACTCGAAAGTCCTGAAAGTGGGGACTGGTTACTGGCAGACCTGCCGGCATCCCGGATGATCGTATCCGTGATGTCCTGGTTGGACTTGGGGTCTACGATGCGTATGATGTTCTTCTTCTTTGGGGGTTGGTTGTATTGGGGTGCCTGGGGCACCTGATAGCGCTGCTGGATCTGTGGCTGGGCCACCATCACGCCCGGCTGGTTGGATCCCTGGAAAAACGTTGGGGCTGGAATTGGAAGGGGTCGGGAACAAATGAAAGAAGATTAGGATACATCCCGAGAAATAACCGTGATGAATTGTCTGGCTATCCCTCACGTCCTGAAATCCGTCGAAATCCAATGCCAATTTATGCTAAATTTTGATGGACTAGTGCAGTGCCCGTTAAAAACGTGCCTGTTCGGAAGGGGCAAATTGCTTGGCCGCTGGTATTGGTTGCTTGCAGCGTTTTTGAGAACTGCTCCAGCAAACAACGCACACGATTCAATGGTGTTCTTTTCACAAGTTGAACGCACACTCACAGGTATGCACGTTTCACATGTGGACAGACACACAAATATTCCTCGAATTATAGTAAGAAAAACTTAAGAAAAGTGTGCCTTTGTTTATTACGGAATTCCCCCGCAATGAAGTACCCTTTGTTGATAATGGAATAGCCCCCGGTGAAGGTCAGATAGCTCTATGCACACAAGCCAAATATTTTATGAGACAAATGGGGCTAATTTGCAGCTGTATTGCAGATATTTCGAGAACTGCTCATAACGGTACCAACAACTTTTAACTTGAGACTGCACATTCTGGGGGTCCCGAGCAATACACACGCCGATTTTCAACTTCATACATTGCCCGGTTCTAGAGATAATCGAAGTACAGACAGACACAAAGACACACAGAGATTCCTGGCATTATAGTTAGATTAAGACTTGAACAGCCATTGCATAGTATCTTGGGGCTCAATGTCTCACTCCTGTTACCTGATTAAAGAGGTTGTGGAATGCTCGAAGACATTTCCGTCATTTTTCGGGTATATGTAGCCTAAGGTGTGATGAAATAACAACGACTATTGTTTCTGTCATAAAATGAGTACAAAAGGTATTTTTGAGAGCTGTTTTTCAAGTCCTGTCATGCCTGTTTCGACCCGAACGTGCAATTTGTGTAAAAGTCGTCGTTGCGGGCAGCAAACAAAACACAGTAAATTGTGACGTAATAAACAGGACTCGTTCATGCTACTCTGCATCGGGAGTCCTGTTTATTACGTCACGATTTACTGTGTTTTGTTTGCTGCCCGCAACGACGACTTTTACACAAATTGCACGTTCAGGTCGAAACAGGACCTGAAAAACAGCTCTCAAAAGTACCCTTTGTACTCATTTCATGACAGAAACAATAGTCGTTTTTATTTCATCACACCTTAGGCTACATATACCCAAAAAATGACGGAAATGTCTTCGAGCATTCCACAACCTCTTTAACTAACAGAGAGTACTGGACTCAATGGACACAAAGGGATTGTTGGGGGAGATTACCGGGAGAGACACTAGTGAGAATTACAGACGGTGTGCAGGCTTACCTCCCTGTATATTGACGGGTGGTGAGTTGGCGTAGTACGGGGGTGTACTGGGCTGTTGGTAGATCTGTCCTTGAGGCGTCTGTGCTGTGAACTGTGGCTGTTGGTACACTTGCCTCTGCTGATACTGAGATTAACATGACCAACAAAAAAATTGAGAACAAGAAATCTTTGTTGAAATGAACGATTCAAGTGAAAAAAGAACCCAATTTTTGAAGAATTCGGCCTGTCCTTAATGCTGTGCTGCTGCCGTAACAAACTCAAATCAATTTGACTTTACAAAAGAATTTGGCACAGCAATAGCATGGTGTTTAGAACCGTTTGGTTCAGCAATGTCATAGTTCTGACCAAAGTTACTTTTCCTTGCAAATCGGGTAACACTGACAAAAAACGTTCGTCTTCCTATGACGTTGCGAACAATTTTGTGGTCAGGCGATTTCGCGGTGCACTGGCAACATGTCCCAGGCGAAGGGCGGTCGCCAAAACGCAGCCCAGTTTGGCACTGCAGTAGTATGGAGTTTAGAACAGGCTCAAGTCTACATCGCGCTTTTTTAAGGGAGTTGGGAGATGAGGTGGGAGGGGAAAGAGAGATGGGGGGGGGGGGCTCTTCAAGTGCCACAATCCCCACCTGTGTCTGTTGTTGACCCTGGTATTGCCCTTGTTGGGAGTACACTTGTTGATCCCTCTGTGGTGGATACTGCAAGAAGATAGACAAAACAAACAATCCACTAAACCTTCCATCGTGGGAAAAAATCATCTTCATGTACCATGCGGACTACACATGTATAATAATTATAAAAAAATATTGGATGGCTTTTGAGGGGGATACGGGATACAAGAATATATTGCACGAGCTATAACAACAATATTGCATGAGTTCAGGGCAAGTGCAATACTGTTATGGCGAGTTTTGAAGGAATTAAGGTAACGACTGCTGATGTTTAGAAATTTACACAAATATAGTAAAAGGAATTTGCCACTATTCTGTAAAGAAAACAAAATCTTGCTGAATGACCGGTTTGTACTTCAGGCGACTGCAAAGCACAATTTGACGACTGGAAAACATTTGCAGCAAAATTCACCGGACTAGAAATGTGTTAAACGTTTGGGAATTTATAGCGCAAACATTTGCCGTGAGACACTAAGTCACGTTCGGTTTTGCGCCGAGTATGAAACAGGCCTTTCTACTGAAAATTTTGCAAGAGAAAAAAAATGAAGCAGGCTTGAAATCTCACCATGACCATGAACTGCTGTTGTGACTGTAGGAACGGAGAGTTCATCTGGCCGGCAGAGATCTGTTGATTAGCGGAGGTGGGCACCTGCTGGAGCTGGATGCCACCCCGCTGGTTGGCCTGGCCGCTGATTCGCTGCATGTAGACCTGCTAAAAATGACAGAAGTAATCAAGAAGAAATGGACAAAGTTAATGCGCTACTCTGATGCGAAATTAAGCAACTTTAAAGGTAATATACCGGTACAACATTTGCTTTTTCTGTAATTTTCAGAAAAAGACGGATTTGGGAGTCAGTATTTTACAGCAAATATTGTCACACTGACTTGTTTGAAGTTTTGGGTTCATAGAAGCTGAACAAGCCAATAAAAGTAAATGCAGTTCTTGTAGTCTGGTTCACTGACCCTACTTCAGACGACACAGAGCAATTAATACACGTCAGGGAATTGTCAGGTCAGGGAACCAGACTGGCTGGCTTGTACTCGTTCATGATTGCAAACACAATGTGGATCTAACTATGTTTGGTAAATTGGGGGCAGTATTTGAAAAAAGTCAGTCTATTTTTCCCAATGATGCCATCATTGGAATTTGATACAAAAAATTCCACTTCTCTTGAAAATGGCAGCACACCACGTCACGATTTCACCATGTCATGATTTCACAGGAAGCTTGAGACAATTATTCACTTACAGTCAAGTATTATGTATTCCACAATAATTTTTGGTGTAAACGTTGTATAATTACCTTGAACAACTGTTCATTTTCAGTATACTTGGACTGAATACTTGTACTGTCTTTATAAAATATCCCTGGGGAATTGTCAAATAAACAACAAACACACAGCTCACCGGTGGTCTCTGCTGCTGTATGATGGTATATGGCGGCGGTAGTATCACCCCGTGTGGTGTCTGCTGCGGCGCCTGGGCCACCACATTGCCTTGCTGGTGGGGCGAGGGGGCAAGACCTGGGTGGCTGGAGGCCCCCTGCTTGCTCATGTCATGGGTTGCACCAGGCTGGGGGATGGCCGCCAGGCCCTGCTGGGGGGCGGCGTTGGCCACGCCGGGGCTAGAGGACGGGGACGGGGAGGCCCTGGCGGGGAGTACTCCCGTGTTTGGGATAGGTACTGGGCTTGGATGCCGTGTTGACTGTTGGTGTTGGAAAAGAGTGAAGGAAAAAAAAAGAGCATTAGAAATGATACAGTGCCCTGTGAACAATTCAGTGCAAAAAGCAAAAACATTTGCTTGACAAAAACAGACCAGAGGCCAAAAAGACTATGCGAGGTATACTGCTTGGTCCTGGCTCTCAAGTGATTTTTGCTGAACACAAAAATTTGCTGTTGGCTAAGAATTGGTTCAGCTGATAATTTTGTATAGCTAAACCTCTTGTGCATTCTTCATTGTTAAAGTAACAAGAAAAGCCTCTGAGATACACGTACACGCACCTGCAACGCATATGGTCTATTTGGCGGTTTCAATTATAGAAAATTTTGGTGGCCATCAGCTGAATGCCCATTAGTTCTGACTTTTTTCATTTACCCTAACCCCTTGGGCTCTTTGACTAGAAAGTATCCTGAATCCGCCAAAATCCATCAATTGTGCCATGCAAAAAAATGTTGGTGGCCAGTGAGTCCATCAGAATCCACCAGTTAGGCGGATGTAAATCTGTTGAGATCCTGAATCCGCCAAAGTCCCCCAACAGCTCAATATATAGGTATCCTGAATCCATCAAAATCCTGCAGTTCCGCTAGGCTTACAATTCTGAATCCATCAAAATCCCCCAATTTGTGCAATATGGAGGTATCCTGAATCCGCCAAAATCCCCCTAAACAGGGGTGTGGATTTTGATGGATTCACATACGTTAGGGTAAAAAAAAGAAATTACCAAGAGACTTTTAAACATTACAGTGTACAACAAAATTCCACAATTTGCCATTTATTACTGGCATCCATGTGTCTTTTTTTCCAGGTGTGACAAAACCAATCGTTGAAAATGACCAGCGTACTTTCACAGCCAAAAAATCATCCATGTACCGAGTCAAGCATGGATGAACACAACAAATGCTGAGCCTGCATGGCCTGCTGGCCTGCATGGTAACTTCAGTCACCCACAGATTAATCAAACATCTGGATAGCACACAATAGGGCTGACCAATCTCATTGATCATGCATCACTGACTTTCCCAATGGGATTCAGGATTCCCATTGTGGCCGCAGAGCCTAGCAGTGAAGTGGGCTCTATGGTAGCGCTGTTGTGGTGTCAATAGTCCCAGCTGATGTCTAGCCAATTTCACCCATGAACTACATGAAGAGAAACCTTATTTTCACGAGGAAGCCATATTTTTGATCGTGTTCCTTGAATGTATTTTATAAATTGTATACTGCTGAGTGGGATGGTGCCAGACTATTTTATGATTGGAATGCATGCCAAGCCTCACTTTCAATTTTGTTTTTTAAATGTGGCTTAAAACACTAGGATATGTTTAATCACAAATTGTAAATTCTTCATTAGAGCAGACTGATGTTAATTTGTAATTAGCTTTATGTACCAGGTAATTGCTTTCATTTCTATTCGCAAGTTCCAAAAATGAAAATTTTACCTCACTTTCAATTTCAAATGGCCGACTCGTGAATAAAACCCATTGCGCACAGACCTGGGCCCAATTTCATAGCTCTGCTACCAACAGAATTCCGTGCTTACGATCCCCATTTTGTTCTTACCGCACTAGCATAAATGATGTTTATTTGTAACTAGCTTTATGTCATGTATGTAATTGCTTTCATTTCAGGTTGGCGTAGCGGTACTTTCCCCGCCTTCCACCGCTGTGACCCGGGTTCGAATCCCGCCTGGTCCAACATGTGGATTGGGTTTTCAGTCCCTACCTGATTCCGTGGGTTTTCCCCAGAATATTCTTCTGGGCTTTTCCTCCCACCTCTAAAACTGTAATTTGTTCTCATTGTCTTCTCTCCACAGGTTTCTTCAGGCTTGCGAGCTACAGTGCCTAGGGCGCTTTTGAGGAATCCTTGATTTCATTACCAGAAATGATTAATAATAATAAACATTCTGTATTAACCCTGTAAGCACAGAATCCTTAGTTACGAGATGTCTGCATGCACATAAGCCAAAACTCCTCACTAATCCGTGAAATACACTCACCGTAATCACATAATTTTTTGCTAGAGTAAGCAGGGATTTTTCGCTAACGGTAAGCAGAGCCAAGAAATTGGGCCCTATAACTGGGCTCTAAATTGCCCACTCAAGCCAAATCAAGATTTGTATACTGTCATTTTTTCCCCTCTTAACATGCTTAACCCTAACCGCCCTGAATCCTCCAAAATCCTTTTTGCAAATTGGAGGAATTTGCAGGATTGAGGTTACATGGCAAAAGTGCGTTGCTGATTTCGGAGTACGCACTGTGTCAAGGTCTTGGGCCCGACCTCGTGTTGTTTATGCTCAGCCGTGTATAAATTTAGACCTTGATTATACTTGACATCCTCCGCACTGCTCCAGGATGTCACTGCCTCTGCCTCAGCCTATTGACAGTCATAGCCGGAGGATTTGGCAGGATTCAGGCAGTGGTCACCCCTCCATGGACCATATTCAAGAAATAGCGGAGGAATTTGCAGGATTGAGGTTATATGCTATTTTTCCACGAGGCCAATTGGAGGATTTTGCAGGATTGAGGCTACATCCTAGCAAAAAGGCCTAGGGAGTTAGGGTTAAATTGCCCACTCAAGCCAAATCAAGATTTGTCATTATTTTTTCTCTTAGCATGCTTAATAGAGTTCTGTGGTCCTGTGGTCCCTGTACTTGAGGGTCCGTAGAACTGAAGGGTCCCAGTATTGAAAGGAATCATTTTGAACTTACCGGGTGAAATACTTGCTGTCTGTGGGTGACTTGGGTGTGCTCTTGATCCGATCTCAGTTGCTGTGCTGCAGAGTTTCTCAATCTGAGCATTCTTAGGTTAAGGATTCTCTCAAAATAGTCCAATAGACCACGGCAAATGCCATGTTCTATGATATGTGAGCAGATTCGCTGATTAATTAGGCAAGACAACTGCCTCTTGACCTCCAGATTTTGACCAATCAGAGGGCACTTTTTATATCAAGTCTTCCGTCATTCACCCGTTGTGCGTCATAGACAATTGATAAAAAAAACCTGTGTCACGCGCTATGTATCGAGTTATGCGATAATGCGCCCGGCTGCTGTTGTATTACAAAACACTGCATTCGAATTGACCAATCAAACCATTTAGTCCCGATCTGGGAATGAAATGACGTCACGATTTAGTAAAGTCGACTCAAACTGGCTGGCGCCCAGCTTGCATGTCTAGACATATCAAACGTTATACAGGAGACTATTGAACTTGAACTATTGAACTATTGAAATTGCTTAAGCCACTCAATTATATTTTCCTTTCGAAATGGGAATTTGCAGTGACCAACATAAAATAATAAATATTGTCTCCCTAGTCGAATGTAATACATTTATTTACTCCATAGAAGGCTATAATTAATATCCTGACCACATTTGGGGGAAATAAATTCCCACAATTTGTAAAAAGAAAACCAGTAGTTACATATGTACATGTATGTACATTCCAAACATTTAGCGACAAAAGTATCGCAATTTATCTGGTATTTCGTACAAACCAACATTTGTGTTGGCATGCGACTGTGACTCATTGGGTATAAATGGCATTTACCACATCACAATGTGGTTTCCACTCACTCACATTCGTCGCGTAACGAATTCTTGAAACAGGACAAAAATTCACCAATGACCTTTATTCAACAACGTGAGATACTAAAACTAAAAAAAAAATATAAATCACAACTTCCGACAATGTCCAGGAAATGAGGGTGTGACTGCAGAGATTTCCCGGAAAGCAAAGAGTTTGAAATTATTCACGGGGGAGAGGAATCCTAGTTGAATTGGCAAATATCCATTTTATTTTGCCTGAAGCTATGCACATTACACAAATACAGGGAATGCTTGCTATATTATGTACATGTACATTGTAGCTGTGGCGAAGCTTTGTACACGTGTACACTGTACATTTAATGGCGATATTCCTGTGCACGTGGTGGAGAGGTTGCAGCAATTACATAAATTATTCCTGGTTGCGATTCCAAAATGATTTGACTATTGTCTTGTGAAATCTTTGGTGGTGAAAATAGTTGTCATTGCTGGGTTCATGTAAGTTTGTATTTGGGGTAAAATGAGCATAATTATATTTTATATCTATGTATTCTATTTTTGTTTGCAATGCAAAAATCAACATATGTTCAGTTCACCAAAAGAATGTACAAAATATTAATTCTCAATTTTTTTGTACATATATAAGGTATATGTACCCTTTACATGTAAATATCAGTGATTTCAATCAATTTATAACTTACTTTTCCGCATTGACACAATTTATAAATTAATCTGAGATTATCGTTTGCTACTGAAAAGGTAAACAATGCAAATTCAAAGTCATCAAATTGCGTGACTAAGAGTGAGTGTTTCCGCTTTTTTTTTTTTTAAGTTAACGAAATTGACTGGTGCGAGGTTTAGACCTGCGACCTCCGGATTGCCGTTCCGGTGCTCTACCAACTGAGCTATCCAGCCCTATGTTGGCGGTTCCCCATTTTGTCAATGTCTTTGTTCAAGGGGCGCTAGTCGGAGGCCATAAACACATTTAAATGCCAGGGACCTTGCCCAAAGTCCGGGTGCTAGCAACATGAGTAAATGTAATGTTGTAAACCTGGAAAAACAAGGACAATTTGTTTTTTTTATATAAAAAGTAAAACAAAAACACTGTCCACACATTTAACTCTTTCAGTGCCCGCTAAATTTGAAAAGTTTAACCCTAAAGTACCCAACTTCGAGTGTTTTTGTTAATTGTTCAAAATTCTGTAAAAAAAAAAGGAAATAAGTTTTACTCACTAAATTTGTTGTTGATGCTCTCTGGTATATCCTTGATATAATGGAAAGTCAAAAGTAGTCACAAACATAGTGATACACCCTGAAACACTGGCCTGAACACAGGGTAATTCTGCACTTTTTGCAGAATATACGAGATTTAGTGCTGCGCCCTCTCGCAAGAACTCGATGAAAAAATAAATACAGGTTGTACATGCATGAAAATGGTACCATTAGAAAGAGCGAGAGCGCCCCCTTTTGATAACATATTTACTCTACCTCGTACATGTACAAGGTTTGGCAATTTAAGTACGAACATTACCTCGTACATGTACGAGGTTGGCGCTTTTGTACTAACAAATATACCTCGTACATGTACGAGTTTGGCACTGAAAGAGTTAAAATACCTAGCCCAAATGTCATACAGAGTTCATGGTCATTATACTGAATGTTCATTGTATTAAATTGTTCACTTCTGTTCCAAGAAATCAACCAATGTAATGCAATGTACATACAATAGCCATGCTTCTTAAGTGTGTTCCAATGCTTCGGAAGCATGACTGATCAGCTACAAATGTACGACTGCACACAAAAAAATTTGCTGAATGGTAAGTCGCAGTGCATCACAATAGGATAAATTACTTATGCAGAAACGGCAATCGGAGTGCACTCAACGACACAATGCGCTCACTGGCATGGAAATTATACGGAAACAGAAATCTTGGTCCTTCAATTTTATGAGATTTTTTTGTTGGGGGGGTGTGGTGGATGTGTCTAAAGTGTAATGGAGGGGGAAAATGTGTGCTACGTGTATTTCAGAAAAATGTAAAGATGCGAGGAAAAAGTTAAACAATAAAATAATAAATTTAAATAAAAAACAGGGGAAAATACCGGTACATATGTCACATTGTAAGGCGTAAAGAAAAGTGTGTTTACGGTCACCCGAACTACCTGGAATTGTTTAGGCCAAATAACAGACCTCAAAACATTTTATCGCCACCTTTGGCCAAAAATGTAAAATGAGGCATCGGTACATTTTGAAAAATAGAAAGTCTTCCCCATGCAATGTTTTTGGTGTGTTATTGGTCAATTAACAATTAACAGGTTAATTAAAAACAGAACACTGTGAAAGTTACTTGTAACAGTAAACAAAGTACAAGTTAATGACAAGCATACAAAAATTGATACAATAAAAATTATTTTCCCACCGTACCTGGATAATTTGATGGCCTTACCATAAACACAAAAAAAAATTTCTGGGCCTAACCAGAGAGCATATTTGCATGAGTCTGCATGGCACGTGGAATTGAACTCTCACATGACTAATTATCCATGGCCTGTGCTGTGTGCATGCACGTGGTTGCCTGTACCATGGAGCTCCATGCCTGTACACATGGCAGCCCTGGCACACTGATAGTGATACCACACAGTACGGACTACCGTGCTGCCATGAGGCTTGGGAGATAGCATTGGGCATTTATATGCGCAGAGCTCACTATCGCAATCCAGTACTGTGCAGGACTCTGCAGCTTTATCACTGGTACATGAAACTGCACAGAGGCTTTGAAACACATGCAGAATAGATTTTATTCCTTTGGGGTAAACGCTTTCTTGTACAACTGCCGTAAGGAGGCAATGAAAAAAAGGAGCCTACATTGTACCTGAAGGAATTTTACATCAGCATCTCTAAAAATGAGTGGTTACAAATGGAATCTCATACCCGACATGTGTTTAGATCGAAAAGGGAAAGAGTACAAAGACCAAAACAAAATAACAAAATAAATTAAGACGAATGGAAAATGTCAAATTTACACAAATTAAAAATGTTAATTTCTAGGAATTTCCAAATTTAAAATTGTAGTTATTGTGTTCCATCTAGGCTTTTTGATGTGAAGTTAATGCTTTTCAATCAGTGACTTGCAGAAAAGCCTTGGGATTTTGTTCTGAAATATTCATGATTTAGACAATTTTAGTGACAGGGAAACATCTGAGCAAACACCCTCCAGGCAAGGAAGACGTTTGCTCACTGATGCACGTACATGGATACGTTATCCACCTCTCCATGTATCTGCCCCAGGGGAGTCAGCCCTGGCAGATACATGTAGGCACGGTAACCATGCATCATCCCTTGGCCCAATCACAAGGCCCCTGGCCGGCATGGCGGGCATGGCCGACCTCTGGATGAACCCACCTTTGCCCAGACTGGAAGGCGGGCTCATGAATTATTCATGAGGTATGAATACGATTTGCAAGTCAGTGCTCACTACTGCATGGGGAAATGATGGCAACCTTGTTTTTTGGGGTTTTTTTTCATTATTCCTAATCATAAGGCCAAAAAAAAAAGTCTCCGGTTTCTGGTATGGAGCTTGCCCAAAAAGTGGTGCGGCGACGCGGTTTCTTTTTTTTTTTTACCTGACTTTTTTGCTTCAAATGTCGGCTGATGACTGCAAATGGTGCCCGACTAAACTTAGTGCAAATATATGGGAGTCCAGAGAGGCCACATAAAGCTTATTCTCGACCATAACCCAATCTAAAAACACATTAAAATTGTGCAGCAGCAGGATTCCAGTCAAACTAGTGAGTTTGGCGGTTTTGAGACATCATCTTTCATTGAAAAAAAACTTTTTCATTTTGCCAACGCGCATGGCTACGGCGACGCGTACGCATACCAGAAACCGGATACTTTTTTGGGGGGGCCTAAGGTAGGATCTCTCAAAGCTTAATTTGTTTGATAGTTGAGAAATACATTATAAGTGTTGACTTAATCTCTTTGTAATAAGACATTAGATGAATAATTCATGAGGTAGGCCTACACGCAGTACATGTATGGTAGATGCTGCATGACTGCTGTGCTAGGATACTTTTCTCATGGATAATTCATGAGGTGTGACATTGCAAAAAAGGCCGAGTTGTTGACCCAATATAATCATGTTCGGACGATTGACCTTTGCCCATCAAACCCATCCACATCTCAGACTAGACTCATGAATTATGCATGAGCTGCGAGGAAGCAATTTTCTGCACGGGTGCCATCATACC